GAACAGTATTATCAGTTTAATCTTTTTATAGATTTGCAAATGTATTTAGGCTCTTTTGATATGAAAAAAGGAAACTTCGCTTAAATAAACATTCATTTTATGATTCACATTCGACATGTAAATTCACAGGCTATTTTGTAATTGTATTAATATGTCTATGTATTTAAAAAAAGTAAAATAAATGGGGAAAACCCTGTAAACTTTTTTTTATAGTGTATATATTTTATACCAGCTTTTTCCAGCACTGCATTGAAGCTACATGATGCTTACACTGAGTGAAATATTCAAACTCATGATGTCTTTTAAATTAAAAAATTCCCAGTTTGTGTTTCCCCGTACAGAGTTGTGGTGGAAAGACACAACAGAAAAGAAACACAGAGATGACTGTAACTTTGGAAGATACCATTTTTATTTGCCTAACTCAGACTACAAAAGCTTCAGATAAACTTTGGAACGTATTTTTATCCCAGAATAAGGACTGTAGACCTCCATCACACTGGAGGTGCATTAGACACACCCTCCAGGAAGTTGCAAAGTTGCGATCGCAACAATTACACAAAAAGCCAGCAAAGATCTGGAGGGACTGATTAGGGAGGGATCTGTTAATGTTCAGTATGCACAGGAAGAATGGTTACAGCATGTAGAACCTGTTTCAGTGTTCATATGGCCACCTGAGAGTAGTTTTAAAAAAAACTCCATTTTACACACCAAAGTAGGTTTCCAGGTGTAGGGGAGTACTAATGCACATGTAAAAAGCGTTGCATTAAAGGTGGAGCTGAGGCGGGCTGATTGAAGCCTGGTTACTGGAAACAGCTGCCTGTGAAACTATAAGTCTTAATATATATTTTGAGGCGTGAGTTATATAAAAATTCACCCACCATACAGTTGTCATGAGTTGGGAAGCTAGCTATAGAGACCTGTTTTTTTAGTACCAGGCTGTAAACGTGTTTATTTGTGCTGTAAAGTTGGGCATTTTGATATGGGGCCTTGTGAATCACTTCTGAGGCCAGCCCCAGGTGGCCGCTTGAGGAACTGCAGTTTTTGGCACTTCTGCGTTGGCTTGTCGGCCACAAGTTTGAAAAAAATATATATATTTGTGGGTGTGCAGTTAGAAAGGAGAGAGTTAAGTCTGGGACACAACTGAAGATGAGCTGAAGACAAACCACCAAAAATATTATGTCCACCACTTTTTAGGAGCATGAACCTGACCACTGAGTAAATATATGAGACGACACAGTATCGACTAGAGCTCTGTAGGTAGACGACCATACAAATCCCATCTTGGTCCCATCAACCCTCATCCCAAAGTAATTCAGTTACTTTTGAGAGAAGTAACTGTAACTTATTACTGTTTTTCAGTAACACTGGTTATAAGAGCGCAATGAGTACTTTTTTAACATACATAGTAGTCTCTGCTGTTTTTAACCACCTTATTGCACAATAAAAATAATAATAATGAAGAAGAGACCCTCAGCTGGTGTTGTTTCTTTCTCTTTTCTGTTCCAGTCATGCTGTCTAATCCCTCTTAAGTTCAGAGACAAGACTTCAGGGCTTTCACTTCCTGGCTCTCTGCTCTACGTACTGCATCATGCAGTCAAGAGAAACAACAAAAAAATGGCAGTATGTTCCAAAATGTTCTAAAATGTTCTTATCTATGGTTTACTTCCTCTTTCTGTCCCAGTAATATGCACAAGTGACTGCTCCTCCCCACGGGTCCAACATAAATGTACATCACACAGAATGATGAACTGCATCAGTGAAGACTGCAGGATGTCTCTGCTGTTATCAGTGGAGTTATGGGAATGATGAGAGCCTTGGATTGGATGCGTTTTGGTTGCTCCAAATGTGAAATCCACAGTGAAGAATCTTGGCATCATGTTCAACGACCAAACAAAATCACTTGAGGGAAATTATCCGTGCTTTTATATTCCACCATGCCTCGACTATTATATCACCTGTGTCTGCCTCAGCCACCTGCACTAGCCCCGCTGCTCCAGAGATCTACAGCCAGCTTCAACATCTCACATCACACAGGTTTTGGCTGCTTTTCACTGGTTGCATGTCAACTTAAGACACGAATTAGGTTTGACCCTGAGGGCCAAAGGTATCTAAAATGATCATTTCATGTTTTTAGCACATAAAAGTCTGATTTATTGTGTTCATTATCTGCCTCTTGGAGTGGCCAAACAAACACTGTTAGATGTCTCTTTAAATTTTAAAGCACAGTACTGTAAAGACCTACTGTACAATACCAAATTTCTTCGTTACAGTAAAATACCTTAGTTTATAGTGCATTGTGGGTAATTTATATCAAGCAGGAATATTTTACAGTATATTTTTATATAGTAATATTACAATATTAGTAAATAGAGATTTCATATATATAATTATTAGTAGTAATAGTAATTATAATAGTTATGTGTAATTATTAAAATTAGCAGTAGTATATCAATATTAATATAACTGGAAATATCACAGTACAATATAATAAAATACAGAAGAAATAGACCAAATTACTAAATTCTGTAAAAATACAGTAAAATCGTGTTTTGTAGTAATACAGCATTCTTTTCTATAGTGTACATTGCATTACAGTACAGTTACAGTAATTTATTAGAAATCTAAATACAGCAACTTGCTAGCAACCGTGCTGCCAGTAACGTACTGTAAATATTCAAGGAAATGGTTTACAGTGAACATTTTGAAGCTACGACAAAAATAAAAAACACACTGTTACTGCTGTTTTTTGAGCAGCTCTAAAGTATTCACAGGCACATGTCATCCTGTTCAGATAAAAGATGCACATAAATCAGAGGAACCTGTCCATCATCCAGTGTGCAGCAGCTCCCTTGGCAGCAATAGAGCAGTTCCTGCTCACAGAAACAGTGCACATGTAGGAAAAGTTGATCAGAGGCTGCTGAAGCCCTGTGGCAGGGACAGCAGCAGCCTCTGCTTGTGTTTTGCTTCATCAGTGTTGTTTATAAACAGTGGAATATTCCAGCACTGAGACTGTTTAAAAGCTGCCATGCTTCTTTTACAATTTGGTTACTTGTTATTCTCTCATTTTTTTGTCATCAACAAATCTCATGACAATACCAAAACCAACACTGAAATTATCTACCAACAACTACTGGGTGTGTACTACTGCTGCCCCAAATACTCACTAGAGCACCAAATGTGGATCAATCCACTGCTGGAAATAGTCCCCAGTAAGTGCACTATTTCCTCCTGTCTGACTAGTGTTTGATAAAAACTACAGTGCCCAGCTGTTTTAGGAAATGTCTATACCTTTTTAACTGCTTCCCATTTTATTCCTGACTTTCACCTCTCCACCTTTGCATTGTTCCCTGTGGTCTCACTCTGAATTCTGACTTTTATAATCTCATTTGTTCTTCATTCCCCCACCTTTCCTGTCACCTCTGCCATTTAATGTCTACGTGTCTTCTCCACGGCCTATTTTCATCCACCGTTTTTTCTTTTCTTTGGTCCCTTTCCACAGACGTCTGTTTAGCTTACTTTCTCCCACCTCCTCTCACTCCGTCCACATCTCCTTCTATAGTTAAACACAAATGACCTGTGAGTGAGTGTATTTATGAACCAAAGGTCTCGATCTCCACGATAACCTCTCTCTTTTCTCCTCTCTCTCTATATTTATTTTTCTTTCTTTGTACAATTTGTAGCTCAGTGGCAGTCAGGAATGTGTATGCAGATACCGCTGCTATCTTTAAACCAGAGATTATGCAGTACAGTGTGTGTGTGTGTGTGTGTGTGTGTGTGTGTGTGTGTGTGTGTGTGTGTGTGTGTGTGTGTGTGTGTGTTCTAAACCAGATGCTTTGCTCTGTGAACTTGGACAGATAGCATCCTTAGCATGTGTTTTCACGTGTGTATGCATGTGTGTGTGTGTGGTCCCCATGCTTTTCAGACATTCAGACCAAGTGGTTTGAAGACTGACACTGTACAGAACACACACACACACACACACACACACACACACACACACACACACACACACACACAAACATACATACACACATACATTCATACAGCTTGGTGAGTCTTTTTGAGTATGCAGTTGATGTGAATGGGGGCCTTTCTTCTGCATCCTGCTAGGTGGTCACTTACCACACACACACACACACACACACACACACACACACACACACACACACAGACACAGACACAGACACACTCTCTCTCATACACAAACACAAACACACACTCACACACAGACACCACCACATAAATATGTCAGTTATATAACTTTTGATGTCAGCTCAGCTTTACTGGAACATTCCTGCTGTAATTCATGCATATGTAATCAATATCTTGTTTATGTTGTCGTTTTTTGGAATTGTTTTGTTTGAAAATTCATCAAAAAATATTTCTTTTGTCCTACTTTACGTGAATCTCATTATTTGCAGCTGCTGCACACTCACAGTGCATGTAAGATTGAAACATTAAGATAAGGAGCCACAGTCAGCCACAGCAAATAATATTGTGTGTGTGTGTGTGTGTGTGTGTGTGTGTGTGTCTGTGTCAGGTTTGGTTCTCTGGAGAGTCAATTAGCAACCACGTGTCAGAGGCTGCAGGACTGGAGCAAAGGGCCTGTAAACTAGTCCATGAAGCAGAGATATATACTCCCTATGTGCTCGCCTGCTTTCAAAATGTGTCATTGTTATAAATGTGAACTGGACTGTGCTGAACCAAACCAGACCAGACTGTAAGCCAAGGTTCTCCGTGATTACGTCTTATCAAGCACCAGTCTACGTGAGCCTCTCTAACATGTAGAGGGTCTGCTCTGTGTCCTGAGCATTCCCTGTCCGAGGTTCACCAGCATCTGGCTGGGGCTTATTTTCCACCCTGGGATCCTTCCAGTGGCTCCGCATGCTTCCAGGAAAACTAAATCAACCCCAGGAATAATGTCCACCGCAGGCTGGACATGAACAGGACAGGCTGAGGAGACAGAAGGAAAAAAAAAGAAAAGGAGAAAGACTGGAAAGTTTGTTATGTTAAATATTTTATTATAAATTAAAAAGAACAAAAAGGCAAACTTATAGTAAAGCAGTCGAGATCAACCTTGTCTTTTTTTTCAACAAGCAAAGCAGGGTGATGCATGTGCTAGTGTGAAAATGGTTTTAAATGAACTTCAATGGCAGATGAACAGTTGATTCCCACCTGTACTAACAGCTTATAATGTGAATGTTATTGGACAGGAGTGAGGATAAATATGCAACACGCAAAGCAGACATACAGTAAAAAAAACATACAGTATAGACCTTGACCATGTATGAAAATAGGCTGCTGCTTCATTCCACACTGAACATAATATCATTAAACTGATGTTAGATGCAACACTTTAAGTATAAAGTCTGTATCTTCAGTCATTATCAGAACCAGCTTCTATTCTCTGGAATTAAACCCTGCATATTAGACACAACTCTGGTTTAGGTTTTATTATATTTCTGACTGGCATCATAACAGTAGCTTATTGACCAGAAGTTATGGAAAGCTGCTGATTTTTAGTGGCATAAGTCTTCACAGGCACATGTAATTCGATGTTTTGAATACAAGATTAATGAATTAACACTACAACATGTCATTTTAAATAAAAACAATTTAGTACATCTACTGCATTGTGTTTTTTTAGTGAACAACACACGCATTGAGTTTTCTCAACTTAAGTTAACTTTAAAGGCTGAGTTGAATAGGATAATTGTTGCATAATTGTTGTTACTGCAGACTTTAAGTACAAATAATTTGGATTTTAGTGTATTCAACTTAAAATAACAATTGACTGAAGTTTTCAACTGATAAGTAAATTCACTTATCTGGGCTTATAGGGTACAGCAAAGTTGTTCAGGGGTCTTAAAGGGAAACTTCACACTGCACTGCTGCACTTTCATAAAGTTAAGGGAATTCACAAAAAACAGATCTCTCTACATTCACACCTCCATTTCAGCATGGAAGTTATAAACAAGAACGTCTGTGGACCTGTGAGTTGAAATGATTTTTAAAAAATCTCAATTGAAAGGTAAAAAAACAATTAACACAGGCTTAAATTTGTAGTCTTAATGCCAAAGCCAAGACAATAACCCTGATATTATGAAAGTCCGACTTTACAAACCTTCTCCAGAATCTCACAATAACCCTAAAGTAGTAAAGTAAATATACCAAATACTTTTATCATAACAGAAACCAAAGCCTAATCTGTGATTAGAGGCAGAACGTTTTGATGAGCACTGTTGTTTTATGTGAAATATACACAAGGAGAACCCTCCACACACAAAATAAAGCTGAGGTGAGAAAATGTGTCCACAAACTTTAACGCTGGAAGCAAATTTTCTTGAAGAATGGGATTAACAGGGTAATTACTGGCATTGTTAGAACCATCTGTGTATGGTTAAATATGGAAGTGTGCACTCATGCATGCTCAGTTTCACAGTGATTTCTCCACCAGTGTGAACATGCAGAGGGACAGGTATACATAGGAACATTTCCAATTAGAGAAACAGAGTACGATACATATATTTACAATCATTCATACGACCCCTGGGGTTTTGTCCTTTTCCAAATATTACTCTAGTGAGTAAAGTGCTGCTCTTGCTGGTTAACACTTTGGTGTGAGAGGCTGAGGTCAATATAAAAACACATTCAGTTAGACTGATCCACAGTCATTTAGAAACAAAATCTTTTCAGTTATTATCTTATTTCTTCTGACCTCATGCTGGATATGCTAACTTGCTGGCCGTCAGTCTAACCATCAATTCTTCCATCTGTGCATTCATTCATTGTGCTAGTAAGCAAAGACGACATCATACATCATCTGATGTCCATCGTCCCACGCGTACAGTTTCTTGTCTAGTGGGCAGTAAGCCACCTGGGAGGTGTGTGCGTGCATGTTCGTGAACGCCAGGCTCGGCACAGTGTGTGTGAGTGTGTGAGTGTCAAAGGCGTATGTCACGTTAGCGTAGTGACGCTCCACACTGTCCACTGCATAAAGTACGCCGCAAACCAGGAAGCTGTTTCCGTAGCGACCACGCCGGAGACCCGTGCGGAAGGTCCGTATTGGCTGCAGGTCTCGGGAGCGGAGGTGGATGAGCAGGATTACTTCCTGATGAAAGCCCTCTGTGTCCAGAGCAGGGTAGAGCAGCCACAGGCCAGACTCATCAACAGCAAACTCCACCTGGTAAATACAACATCATGTTACAGTGAAAAAGCTCTAAAAACACTACCTGCTCAGCACCAAATGAAAGGCAAAGTTAGCTACTAGCTGGTGAGGAAAGTGGAGCATTTGGCAGCCAAAGAGACAGATTTTATTCCTAAGAGTTGGTGGAGACCAAAACAGAGCTAAACTCAGAGTGAATATTAGACTTAATACGCATGAATGATCATTTTTACGCTGTGTCTGCTGGATGTGTAAATAAGCAACTGTTTGCTGACAAGCTCCCAATATTAACTTGATAATAGGGATCAACCGATACGTTTTTTCAGGGCACATACGGATACCGATTATTAGTAATCAATGAAACTGATAACAGATATTTAGGACTTAGATACAAGTAAAAATGAAAATCAGTGGCAAAATGAAAATAACTACTGGACGAGTGTAACTAAGTACATTTACAATTTTGAGGTACTTACCCTTCCATGTATTTCCATTTTATGCTACTTTAATACTTAGTAGCAAATACTTTCTACTGCACTTATTATTTATTTGATAGTAGTCACTAGTTACTTTGCAGATTCACATTATTAATACAATATAAATCAACTATTATGATATGACTTTGATTAATGATGTATTATTACAGATTAAGCTACCCAACAGTACGAAGTAATTAAAGTGATGAACACATGAAAGCATTAATAATCATTAATCCAATCAAATGGGCCATTCTGCACTTTGGTACTTTAAGTCTATTTTAAAGCCAATACTTTTGTTTTTTTTGTTAAGTAAGATTTTCAATACAGAACCTTTACTTGGAACAAAGTATTTTTACTGTGGTATTGCTACTTTTACTTTAGTAAAAGATATGACTACGAAGCATATCAGCCAAAATAGCATATTTTTAAATGTAATTATTTTATCTGCAGTTGGATAGAAATATATCCTTAGTGCACTAAGCTGGAGCCAGGATGTTGTTAGCCTAGCTTAGCATCAAGACACCCACTATCTAACCCAGTGCATGTCATAACCCTCCAACTCACTGTTACAGTGAGATTTACAGAAACAAAAAACAGAAACCTATACTACTGTACTACTACTCACCAGCCATATCTATAGCCAGACGCTGCACAGACGTCCTGGGCTAAAGAAATGACTACAGCACATAACTCCTCCAAAACCACAAATTAAGGTTTTAACATTTCTGTTGTTCTTATTAAACAGATGCAAGATGCAACATACTAATAATGAGACTGAGTGAGAGATAAGTCTTTTAGCCAGGCTAGATTTCCCCTGCTTCCAGTCTTTATGCTAAGCTAATCACCTCCCAACTGCAGCCATTTGCAGACAAGCTCCCCATATCATTAGTCTCTGAAACACATTGAATAAAAGTATTTTCAAGAATGCTGAACTATTAAACCTGCGAAGCAGCTGGACTTCAAGCTATGCGCCTGTGTCCAAACAACTTCCCAGATAGTTCTGTCAAACCATCTGGTGCAGTCCGGTTACTAAACTATTCCCTTGAACTATTTTTTTCACTGTTATCAGGGAAAAGTAACTTGTACAAATCCACACATATTTCTGATACACATGGGATTTGAACAGGGAAACACACAACAAATACATCTCTGTTTCTAATCCTCACTATTTGCCCTTTTGAACTCTTTAGTGATTTGCAGTGTTTTTATTCCCTTCACTGACCTTTTATGACCCTTTGCAGTGTCCCAAGTGTATATTCCACTAGTAAATCATCATGTAGTGTTCCTCATACTGTTACCACACTCACATAAAGTATACCATGGCTCTTACTTCAGTTTGTGTCCTGTGAACTTGCTCCTCCAGTAAAGCATCATGGAGTGTGGTCCAGGCAGCTACGTATCTGTGTCTCAGGTCATATCTGATCACGTCCCTGCTGAAGGCGCGGTTGTAGTAGAAAGCTCCATTAAACACAACGTGGCTTGTTCCAGTGAAACTGTAGGGCAGCTTGTATGAATTACTTGCCTGACCTGAGCAGGAAAAAACACATACACATACATGCAGTTGGTAAGAACAAATGTAACCATGACTGCACATCAAGGTGTGATCCATCCATCCATCCATTATCTACTGAAAATATTTTTCAAGTAATATTTTACTGGGCTTTTGCACAGTAACTGTTACCTCAATGAATGATAATATTGTGTGCTTTGTATTTTGTTTATTCATTTCTAAAATAAAAAATGATATAGATGTGAACTATGGTGCCAGTGGTGTAAAGTACTGTAGTGACAATGCGGCATGCTGTTATGGTATATCGTCTTGTCACATGATAAAATAAATAGAGACTTGACATTAGACAATACCAACATACATATTACCCAACAATCATCACTGCACATCTGTATATGACAAAGATACCAAAGAAAATAAGAAATTATTAATTTACCAGTATTTAAATTTTTTATTTTTTTTATTTATAGTGTTTATGCTTTATGTAGAATAAGCATATCATTTTGTTACAGATTGCTACTGACTATTTTACAAAATGAACGAATGAATGAAATCATGATGTAGATGAGTTTGCCTTTTTGAGGACATATATAGCAAATGGCATCTTGTTTAATATTGATTTCTTTGAACACAGGGGTATTCCAGTGCAACCACACTGCCTGCACTGTCTTTATTTACACCCCTGCCTGGTGTAGTGCAGAAAGGTAGAGGGACCCTCAGACTTGGACTGAAGTCCACACTGATGTGGAGATGGTATTATTTTTGTTAGTCAACCAACATTAGCCAATGTTGGTTGTTGACGCAACATTGTAATTGTCAGCTTGTCACAACAAGCATTAGCTCACTGGCCACTAAATGCAGAATTAAACTTTGAATGTGAAGTATGCTAAGATTGACTGCTAGCCTATGTGATGTTTAAACACAATTGCCACTGTGAAACTTAGTGAAGTCTCTGAAGTTATCTTATGGGTGGTGAACTCAACTGACCAATCCTAATATTGTATATGTGCTAAAAAAGAAAAACAAGACACATATTATCCAATGTAATTTGCTGCAGTTCCATCTGGATATTACTATAGAATCATATTTAAATATCTGTTATCTGTTTTTCCCATATCCGCTAGCTACACAGAAGCCCTGAAACATTGGTCAGTGCCAGATAGTCGATGGGTAACAAGATTGGATTAAAGGTAATATGACACAGTGTTTCCCCAGGTCACAATTAGGTCATTTGCAAACCTAAAAGCAGAAGGTCATGGCCTGTCTTTTTCAGAGCAAAAGTTCAACTCTCTATCTCTGGGATGTCAGTGCAGCTGTCCCGATAAGGCTGAGCTGCCTATGTCTCCAGAAGAGGAAGTTTGTAGGAAGACAGGCTGTACTGACTGTCTCCCCTTAGAATTTACTGTATGTGACCTGAGTGACTTAGGCTAACTTGGGTTTAGGATCCAATACCCAATAAAATCTTCACACATATATAGCAGGGTGAAGCATAGCCATATTTGGACATTAATGAATCTCAGTAGGTCTGGTAGGGGTTAAATGTTCCCCCACCAGCAAGTAACATTCAGAATTGGCTGGCAGTACACAGTGGTTCTCTGGTATTACCTATCTCTGTTCTCCTCCATGGAGCTTCAGTAAATGTTGATGATAAAATGCAATCACCTGCATGAATTGCCGATGATGCGCATATTTATGAGATAAGAACCACCATTGCAAGATTTGGGCTTAATATGTGCTTAAGGACAACATCAGCTTCGACCACAAACTAAAGTGATTAGGGCGGTGTATTGGCAAGAATCAGGCAACACAATATTACACATATCATGATACAGGGGTTACTATTCAAAGTCACTCCAAATACTTCTGATGTGTAACACCTCACTGTCCCTCCACTGACTCCATCACCACTGAGTAACTCCCACCAGTGCAGAATTGTTATGAGTGTCGTTCTAGAGTGACGTAAAAGTAAGATAAATTCTGATTGGACTGCTCACACTGAGGTTGCATTGCAAAAAGTCAGACCTGTATCTGATTTAGGACCACATCTGAAAGTGGCCCTAATCAAAATTGGAAAAGGATCACATTTGTGCTGTTCACGCTGTCATGAAAAAAAAACCCAGATCTGAGTCACATATCAGCACTGATTTGAGCCACTTTTGCCTGCCAAGAGAGCATTGTCCAGTCTTTTTGCCAACTGTTTATTCAGTGTCACCAGCTGCAAAACATACTTTAAAGGATGCTTTTAGGAGCACTAGGAGGAGCCAGAGGAGCCTGATTATTTACAGATTATCTGTCTCATGTAATGTCAGGATACAGTGAAAGTTTGAGCAAATATGAAAGAAAGATTCTTTTTTTAAATGAACTACTAATGGTAAATGGACCTGTACTTGTAGAGTGCCTTTCTAGTCTTCTGACCACTTAAAGCACTTTTACACTACGTGCCACATTCACCCTTTCACACACATTCACTCAGCGATGGCAAAGCCCATCGAACAAGAAACTAACGCATTCATACGGGAGCAATTTGGGGTTCAGTATTTTGCTCAAGGATACTTCGACATGTGGCGGAAGGAGCTTGGGATCGAACCAACAACCTTCCGATTAGTGGACAACCTGCTCTTCCACTGAGCCACAGCTGCCCCGCTACTACAGCTTAAATCTGTTAAAACACAAAACACACACTCCTATACCTGATTTGAAGGTGTCCATGTCTCGGAACTCTAGGAGGTTGCTGCCATAGTGACCATTAGTAAGGTAGATGACGTTGCCATGGCCGCGAGCATCTCTCATCCAGGCTCCGTCACTTAGGCCGTAAGAGTTCTGCTGGACTGGTTCAGAGAGGCTGGCTACTGTGTCCTTACACACTGCTGCAAGAATACACACCAGAGGTGACTCTGAGTCAAGACTCTACAACAGGATTAGCATTTTTCACTTATTCAGTAATACAAAATCCTAAAATATGTGCCCTCACTACCAGATTAACTACTGTATTATATGTAACTCTACCAGGCTGTTTTGTGGTCTTTAGTTGGTCAGCGGGGCTCTCCGTCCAGCTGAGTCGACTTTTGGGTCCTGGCCGAGAGTCTGCCATGGGAGCTGCATCACTGGGTGGACCTATATTGGTATCTAAGGGTGAGGTGGTATGTTGATTGATGATGGTAGGCTGAATAGAAGTAGTAGTAGTAGTAGTAGTAGTAGTTTGTTGGGTGGTAGTTGTCAGTTTGGTTGTTTTTGCTGGTAGGTTAGTGGTTAATTCAGCCGTTGGTTTGATGGTGGTGGGAACTGGTTTGGCTGTAGTTGTGATTTGTCGGGTGGTAATCGGGGGAGCTGTTGGTTGCTGAGTGGGTGCTGGCCAGCTCAGTGAAGGTCCTGCACTCTTAGTGGGGAAAGTCCTGGTATGTGGGAGCTGGTCAGAGATCAGTACGTCCTCTGAAGCCTTTGTAGTTAGAGTACCGGTAGCTGTAAAAGAAGGAAAATAAGAGTTAGAAGAAGAGAGAAATTTTATGTTGAATTATTTCAGTTCTATCTGCCTGATAGAGCACACTTAAGGCTTTTTTTTAATTATGAGCCGTTCACATTCACTTTCACAAACAAATATTGCTTTGGTAATCAAAGTTTTGCATCAGTTGGGCACAAATAATCATCAGACATTCCAAATGAATGCTAGTGTTGCTTTGTATGCTTCGTTTACTAACAAGTTCTCCATATTGACTTTTAAGATGATGATATATTAATCAAAACAATATAATTTGATATATTGTTGTATGCTTATTTCCACTGCCCCCAAGTGGCAACAAAAATCAGTTACTGCGAATAAACTAGTCTCAGTTATTATACAGCAAGTGCGCTGCAAGAAGCAGAGCCAATTAATTGTGCTAAGTTAAAACAACATCCATCCTGACAGGTTAGGAGGGGAATACTTCGGGATGTTGCCATCCAGTCCTAACAGTTTTTCAACACAATGTGACATAAAATGAACGCAGCATTATTGGTTGTAAGGATACATCAGACTTACTACTCTTTCTTTTCCAGTTATCCTCCTCCTCCTCTTTGTAGCTCTCCTCCTCTGCCTTGTAAAAGGTCACGCCCCTGATGACCATGCTGTTCTTGTCTTTGATTGGCTGCTTTGGCTCTATCTTGTCTTTGATTGGCTTTTGAGTTCCTGTCTTATTCCTGATTGGCTGTTGCTGTTCTAGACCATCTTGCTGCTGGTTCTTCTTCAGCTGACCTTCATAATTCTTCTGCAACAGGACAAAACCATGTCTAATTTATTAAGAATGTTTTCCGTTGAGGTAACAATATTTTTGCTTTCAGACAGTCAGTACCTGCTTGTTGGCGTAGGCAGCTGCTCCACTTTTTGGTCCAGCACGCTCCAAATCATTCGTTTTCTTTTTTTTCTGCTGGGTCTTCTTCTCTTTCTCCTTTTCTTTTGCTCTTTCCTTCACACGTTCTTTCTCTCTCACTCTCTCAGTGATATTACGAGCAAAGGCCTGGAGTGCACAGACAGGATGACGGTACATAAACAGTCCAACCTCACAGTGGTTTACTTAAAGAATATACAGACTGGGGGCAAAAACCTGAATAAATGAGCGGAGAAATATATCAAATGCAGATTCTTCCATACAGTGCACAGGGGTTCATTGAATGGTTTGATTAGTATGAGTATTTTACAGTCTTTACCATCACCAGATGATCCTGATAATGAAAATATAAAAATGTAAAGTATCTATTATGTGACTGGAGCTACAGTCAAAAGTTCCATTTGCTTTGTACCACACATTCTTCTATATGAAAAGGAGTTTTTTTTAAGAGAGTTTGGAGTTACATTCCCTCAACGCAAGACTTGGACCTGTATATCTCCAGAACTCTGAGGGGAGCAGGAAAGACTGCGGCCAAACCCCTCCCACCCCCGACACAAACTCTTTGATACACTCCCCTCCGGCAAGAGGCAGCGCTCCATCCGGACCAAAACCTCACGCCACAGGAACCGTTTCTTCCTGACTGCAGCTGGTCAGGGAATATTTGCATTTGCACACTCCATCCTCTTTGTTTTAAACACTGCAGAGCTCTTTTCATTTTTACATATTTCTTAATGTGAATTTCTAATTTATATTCAAGATTCTTAATCTGCAGTACTTATTTATTTCTGTTTTCTCTTACTATGTTTATTGTGACCGTTATAAACAAGCCAAATCTCTTGTATATAAAAGAATAATGGCAATAAACCTGATTCTGATAATATGTTACCTAGATGCAGTGTTGGGAAGAAACTGGTTATATGAAATCTGGATTATGTAATCAGATTTTAAAAAATAAGTAACAATAAACAACCCAGATTACGTTTGAAAAAAAACATAGTTGTGAAGGATTAATAGATTACATTTTTGATTAGGTCTTTAAAATACCCAAGGCATCATAGGATTGCCAGTGGACGGCTAACAACCATGCAAACAATAGTTTTCAATACGGAAAAAAATGATAAATAATGACATTCTATGTTGTTTGATTTGACCAAGTGTAAATGCTGAATGTGCTAAATTAATTTTATTTGCATTCATTTGGAGATGTTTAAAGAGAAAAAACAATATTCGTGGAACTCAATTATTTGTAGCTGTGTCCATCCCGTTAGATTAAGGTGCAACATTTTCATTGTTTGATTTTAGAGTAATTCAAAAGTATTGAGATTAGATTATGTTACTACTTGTGTAATTGTAATGTAATTTGTATTAATTTCAAAGTTATCTGACCCAACACTTGCTATCATACTAAAATGTATAGTATATTAACATCTAGTGTCTGTGTGAGTTCACCTTCTCCATGTTGTCCACCCTGGTCAGCAGCTTGGTGGTGACAGAGTGGAGCTTTAACAAGTCCATTCCATACAGAGAGCCTTCCAAGAGGTCAATGATAGTGGCAAGCTAAACAGGCAGAAATCAGAGAGTTAAAAGACAGAATGTAAGAAAAACTATTATGAAAAAATCTTCACCTAGAATAGAAAAACTGTGAAAGCGCCAGAGTTTCCACATGGTTTCTACCTTAATGTCATCTTTGCTGGCCTCCTGTAGTTTTTTAAACCTGTAGTCTCCCTCACAGGGGTTCACAGCTGAAGCTGGAGCCATGCACACACACTTCTTGCAGTCGGTTCCCTTGGTAACCGTCTCCACAGTGTAAAAATCTTGGGACGATGATGCCAGGTTGCCATCTTGGATGCGGCTGCAGTCAGAACGTTTGATTGGTCGAACAATGCAGCGACACACACAGTCGGACCCTGAAGACACAGTCTTCACTTTGTCGTAGTCACCCAGCAACTGTAAGAGAGGGACAATGTTTGTTCTCTTTCTTTCTCTGTATCTTTTTAAACTTACTCAGGCTGCTCAGATGAAACAATACATTCCACTTTAATATAAATATGTATTTGATACTCAATATAAGACTATATATTTAGAAATACTTGAATGAAAACTAGAAAAGAGAGTTACAGCATTGATGCTGTGCAGCTGCAGCAGTGGTGAGCTGCCTGGGAACAAGATAGCAACAGGCATTTACAAACAGGCACTTTTTGGTTTGGAGCACTGAGGGGCATTACATAACCAACCACCAGAAGGATGCAAACCGTTGCTGTGGTGTGAGCGCACACACACATACACACAGGTCTGGGTCTGATTTACCACGTCATTTAAGCTGAGCTCACAAACTGCAGGGTTTGGATTGTGTTTAAAGGAAAAATAAAGTATATACCTTGTTTTGCAAGTAAGAACTGATGTGTCTAATGCAATGGCTTAATCTAATTTTCATATCTGGAAATGATACATTTAAGGTTTACAGTTAGGAAGCAACATGTGGCCAAAAAGTGCTTTGAATTCTCATGTGGTTTTCACTTGATGAAGTGGATGGAAAGTATTCTACCGAGATGTGATCTGACACACGAGACTGTCAGCAAAGGAGATCAATCGAGGTCTAGCTGAGAGAGGAAAATTAAACTGGTTGAAGTTCAGGCAATTTAATATTTCCCATCATTTGGTTTTTAGGAACGCAGAATATGGATTTTTTAAGCCGATACAAATCAATAACTACCTGCTTCTCACGGCCAACAACAATAAGACAACTGATCTTTATATATTTTGTATATTCAAGAGAAGTTCACAACCTGTAGTTTATGCACACCTAAGGGTAAGAAAGACTAAGGTGTAGTGAGGAGGACTAAGGTGTAAGATGGAGGAGTTCATATTCCATAGCTCTGACATAACCAAATCTAACTGACATCACTATTGTTAACACTAAAATAATTCTGACTCTTCAAAACCTTCACAAACATACTTTCATAGAACATGATGCCTATCAAATTCTGTAGGCAAAATATAAATGCAAAACAAATCATTATATCCTAATAATTGATCAGCTATTATAGAACTATCAGAATATTACAACATAATTTAAATTTCCCATTATCGACAGATCATTTATCGGCCCTTATATATCGAGCCAGCATGGCCCATACAGGACTTCCCTTCAACTCAAACAACTTTTGATCCTGTTAATACATTTTAAAACTGTTTCTTTTACTGTGATAAGTGCTGCTTAAGTGTGTTGAACAATGCCGAATTGAAGAGTGCCTCTTTGAATCTTTGAAATATGTGAAATCTTTCTTTTCTTTTCTTTTTCTTCGTTCTGTGCGTTTGCTGTGCCTAATTTGTCATTATCCTGCGAGTTTCCGTATGCAGTTTGGCGATTAAGTAAATATTCAAATTACACCGACCTGGCTGATGACATTCTCTTGGTTGTCCAGCTCCTCCTCCAGAGGCTCGCTGGTGGGCTGCTGGACTCCCTCCGCACCTACAACAGGAGCGTCTGTCCCCGGAGACAGCTGCTCCCCTCCTCGCACACTCTCCTCGGCTCTGGCCGCGGAGGGAGCATCATGGTCCGGGTTACCCAGCTCTGCTGCTCCGGCCAACAGCATCTTCTCCCGCAAAGGGTCCGCGCTGCTGTCCGCCTCCAGAGCATTAAGTCCACTTACCGCACAGCACAAAATGAGCAGTGAGAATCTGCGCCACATGTCTCCACAGAGGCAGCAGACAGTGAACTGCGAATAAACTAGTCTCAGGTTGATTATCAGGTAGTTGGAGCCAACAGAGCTGAGGGAACAAACGCCCACGGATCTAAATAAAGGTTTACTGGAAAATAAGTGTCCACCTCCCAGACGCTTAAAAACAGTCTATGGGTCCTCAAAAGCTTATTAACATCTCCAACAAAGTGAGGGGTCGCTGGTCCAGGTCCGGTCTGAATAAAGCTTGAGAATAAACCTGTGCAGTATGAATAAAGGAGAATGAAGGTAAAAAGAAGAAGTTATGGAGAGAAAAGAGCTCTATTCGGTTCCATGCGACGTGTCGCCGGTGAGCTGGGTGGCACCGACAAAGGAGACAGACCTCCACACCACACCGGCCCCGGTCCAAACCAGGACTGACTGACTGAGAGAGCGAGAGAGAGAGAGAGAGAGAGAGAGAGAGAGGGAAGGAGCAAGAGATAGAGAGAGAGAGAGAGAGAGAGAGGGAAGGAGCAAGAGATAGAGAGAGAGAGAGGGAGAGGGACTGAGAGGGAGAAGGACTGAGAGGGAGAGAGAGAGAGACAAAGGGAGAGACAGATCTCCGCCCTTTTCGTTTGGAATTTTAACAAATACCATGGAAGCTTTCCCCCTTTCCCCTTCTTCTTAATGAGTGAGAACAGACAATTAATTTGTGTCTGTCAAAATCATGAGACCTTACACAAAGATCAATAGTCTGGGCACAGTTTAAAATCATTGTGCAAGGCATTCTGTATGGACCTGCAGGTCCATGTAGACTCAAAGTGATCATGATTAAATAAATAAGTAGACAATAAATAAATATGGACAATATAATAATCCAGTAAATTTTTAAAACTCAGCTCATTGTTAACAGTTTATTTTTCTGATTGTACACAATATACATAAAGAGTATCGATCGAAGAAGTATCGATTCTATGGCTGTGTTGTGAACCAAAAAGCACAAGTTAGGATGCTAGGAGAGGAAGAGGCAGGGGCAGTCGGTTTGCGAGGCGAGAGGGGTCCATGTAAAAGCAGGCACGCAGGAACTAATTTCAGTGACAGGTGCTGCTGACCATACTTGCATGCAAGGGAATATGTGTACATGCACACACATCTTTTAAACACAGAGGAATGCTGGAGACATATGTTTTTTGTTTTCACTTCAGCTAAAACTTGCACATAAGATACCATGACCAGATTAACCTGGTAAGGGGCCCTGGGGCATATCAATTGCCAGTAAGGCCCCTACATTAACCCTACAAACCTTAAAGTCAAAAAGCAGTGTATCTTCTTGTCCCTACAGTGTGCTGTTTGAATGATGTGCAGAGTTTGACTCTAGAAGGATGTTTTCACATTTATCTGCTGAAAGTGGAAAGCTCCCTGCTCACTGAAAAGCTGATTTGAAGGGGCGGGGCCTACCAGCAGGATTTGTGACATCATAAATAGTTAGGAAGTCAGTCCTGGTCCAGTATGCAACTTGTACAGTGTGATGTAGAAACCTGAAGCCACCAGTGCACATCCACTGAGAATGGACTTTACAGTGAAGTAGGAGACATCTTGTGTCCAGCAGGGAAACTTTAGAAATCAACAACATTTGCATATTCAGAGATTCTGGAAGTTCTAATGAGGTAGAAGGAGGAGATTACTTTTTAAAGATTTTAATTATACTTTTTGCAAAAAAGCCCACAAGTAATTGTTCCAAGCAGACTATTTGTATATATGTCTTAGTACATGTCTGGTGTGGATCTTTAAATACCACGCTCTGTGCATATGTGTGCATCGCGGGTCAGGTTTGGAGATGCTCTGACCCAGTCGTCTAGCCATCACAATGTGGCCCTTGTCAAAGTCGCTCAAATCCTCACGCTGCCCATTTTTCCTGCTTCTAACATCAACTTTGAGGACAAAATGTTCACTTGCTGCCTAATATATCCCACCCACTGACAGGAGCCATGATAACCAGATATCATCAGTCTGTGCTCACAGTGTTTATGGCTGATCAGTGTAAATGTCAGCTCTGCTCCAATAACTGCCCCATTAAAGACAAAAATAACATGAACATCTCTGGTGGAAAATAAAGGTGTAGTCTTGGTCTGGAAGAGACAGAGGTATATTTTAATGTCAAGGTTTTGGTTTTCATCACTAGCTAGTGCACCACCATCACCAGGAGCAGGTGGAGGTGAAAACAACAGTTAAAGGGTTGTGTCAGCTGATTGCCCAGATGCATCAATTAGACAGATGATGTCACAGGCCTAAACTGCTGTTAGGATGGAACATCAGCATGTGATCACCCAAAGCTCTGAACGAAGTCCGGTCAGTTTTATTTATTTAGCCCAGAATCACAGATCACAGTTTGCTTCAATGGGCTGTAACAATGTTCTGTACATTGGTCCCAGTAACATCTAAATACATATCATGTTTTTGTTGGAATCTGCATGAAGATCACTGAGTGTCTACAGATTTACAGAAGCCACATAATGACAAAAAACAGCAGAAAAAACTGAATTGTCAGCCGTATTTTCACATGGTTCAGTTAATGGTGTCATGGTTCTCTACAGAACAGAAACTCCCTCAATCAAATTGTTAAATGGTCTAGTAGGTTGACTGGTGTGTCACAGCTTAACCCAGCATCCCCGTACACCAGACAGTTAAAGTGGTAAGCAGCCTAATTTTAAATGATGACTCTCATCCTTCGCACAGTCAGCTCCTTCCTTCTTGACGGAGGTTTACAGTCCAAAGATGTAAAACAAAGTGGTATAATAATAGCTTTGTTCCAGCAGCTATCATTCAGATCAACAAGTTATAGTAACATGGTACAGAGTTTTTCTTGTTTCTTGTTTTACCTGCATTTTATGATAATAATAATAATAATATAAAGTAACCTGAATCACTTTTTTTAAACTATGGAAAAACATAACTAAGACTAAGTTATTGTTCCATATAGCCAAAATATCGTCCTGTTTCAGTGTTTACCAGCAGATGGCCTTACAGTGGAGGTAGTGACAGTTGTGTATCTGGTGAGACTGCTGCTGTGACAGATTTCACCTCATGTTCTAACAGATCCCGCCCAGCTCACCACACTGACTCACAGAGAACAGAGGAAATAAGCTGAGTAGAAACCTCTTCACACATCAGAGCCGCTCATTTAGTTGACATTTATTACGTACAGGTTTCCTGTGTACACTGTGTACACACATTGAAGTAACTGAATTACGCTTTTCTGACACCTGAGTAGAAGGGGAATACAGACATCATGGGAGCGTCTTCCTCTGGCTTGTTGGATGAGGCCAAAATCAGCAACATCAAAGGTAAAAATAAGAAATCACTACTTCTTTACCGTTTTTTCCAGTATTCTTTGGTGCAGTCTGCAGCTTTGGACACTTCTAAATGGTTTAAAATGGTTCATATGGACTTTGATGGCCCAGCTATCTTACACAGAATTAAAGTAAAGTGGATGAACAGAGAGTTAGAAAGAAAGAGAAATATTGTAAAGGAGAGATAACAGACGCTGTAAGGGTGTGAGTGATAGTGGCACTTGTGGTTATAGCAGCAGCATCAGTCGTTGTAACATTAGTTCTACTTGTAATTACTGTGCATCTGCTTTAGAGCTAAGTGTCAAGTTACAACTAATTTCTGTCCTCAAATGCCATATTATTAATGATCTGCCATGTTGACTTTTACAAAGTCTAGTGTAATATAATTATCTAATGTGTCAGAGAGGAGTTTATTCAAATCTATGGTCATTTCACAGGCTGTAGTTGGTGGTGGCGTTGCGTTGGGCTGCATTGCACTGGAAGGTGTTTGTACGTGCATGAGGAGGGCATAACGTAACTATTTATTTTGACCTTTATTAGATCACTTTCAGCAAAGAAATAGACAGGAAACATGGGGAGGGGTGTGACATGCAACCAAGGTCCCCGGAATTAAAGCGGGGACGTTGTGGTTATATGGCACCAGCCTTAACCGCCAGGCCACCAGAACACTTAGCATTACTGTTGTTTGAAAAGTGTAATAAAAAATTTGCTGATGATTTTTTTTTTTTTGCTTTTTTAAATAATTTTACAAATGAAAATGTTAACTTAAAATTAACTTTGACATGAAAACAAAAATAACAAATGAAACAAAAATGATGGGCTTACATGAGCTGATTCCATTGTGTGCATTCCTATACATGTTATCAGCTCTGTCACATCCTGTCACTAATCTCCACCGCCAACTAGAATGTAATTACAGCCATTTGCAGCTATTACATTATTATGGGTTGTGTGATCTGTCCTGTCTGTGTTTGTGTGTGTGTGTGTGTGTGTGTGTGTGTGTGTGTGTGTGTGTGTGTGTGTGTGTGTGTGTGTGTGTCTCAGTGTGTAAGATGAAAGTCAGGCCAAAGAGTGACCCAAACAATGTGTGATAATGGTCATACAGTATAAACAAATGATAAACAACAGATTACTAATGATATACATCCTCCAACTCAGAGAGTATATTAATCTGTCTCTTCTTACAAATCCGCAGACCTTTGACAAACCTTGCACAGACCACTTTAAAGGTGTTAATAAGTATGAATTTTGTAATGTAGGTTGATCTTCAAAGATGTATTTAAATGCATATGCATCAGTGTGGCTACAGATTATGAGATTTGGAAACAAATTTGGAAACTTTTGACAAAAAGGCAGACACATTAAATTGCGCGGCACCCACAAACTCGTGGTTGTGTATGTAGATATATATTTATTTTACACATAGCTTGTCATAATTGAATAATTCATTCTTGAGTATTTTGTTCTGTGGAGTTCGGGGAGTTCATTCTGTAAGTGTGCGTGCGTGTGTGTGTGTGTGTGTGTGTGTGTGTGTGTGTGTGTGTGTGAGAGAGAGAGAGAGAGAGAGAGAGCGGTAATTGCTATCTTCCTCTCAGCCTTGTCTCCTGTCTCCCACCAACTGTCCCCCATACTCATTCCTGAACTCAGAGCAGAGCAGCAGCAGTGGGATGGTCGCCTGTTTCAATCCATTATATCTGAATGGCAAACTTAAAGTCTCCATATACAGTATATGTTGTATCAGTGGATGGGTTTATTGGATTCAACATTTCTCCTCCACAAGGATGATTAAACCATCCACTAAGTAGCATTAAAGTGGAGTGTTTGAGCCCCAATTTTTGTCTTGCAGACCAAGAGCAGCTTTGCCATTTTGCTAAATTCAATTCCCTACTTCAGGCTGCTTCTTCCAGGTGGTAATTAAACCCTCAAATGTCACCAGGGAAACGCATGAAAATATAAAATAAGGATCCATCATATAGGCAAGATAATGCCCTCCAAGGTGTCCATAATGAGGAATAAATTGACAACATGGAGACCAGAATAGAGGAGTGGTAATGGACACCTCGTCAGGCGTTATCCATACATACATACATAAAGCTGTTGTTATAGCTAACATGTTCACAAACGGTTACCTATTTACACAGCTAACATGGAGAAACATAATCATTCATTTGGAGTCGTGCTTGTGTCCACGCCAGGAATTCAGTATTCACTCTCTTTTTAGCTCTGGGTTGGTTTCCATCAACTCATTCAGAAAAATACCTAGCTCTTTAGCTGCTAAATGCCCCACAATGTTCACCAGCTAGTTGCTAAATTTGTCTGTCATTTGGTACTCAGCAGGTCGTGAAGTGGGTTTATCTGAACTTTTTTGCTGAAAACGAGAAACAAAGTCGAAAATAGCGATGAGAGTTAACCAAAACAGTAAAGTAATAGGCCATAAAATCAAAACAATGAGCTGAAAGAAGCAAAAATGCTCTGTAGAACTGAGGGGAACTGCAAAGTATGTTGATAATTCTATGTAGGCTCATCAGTAGGTGTCCAGTTTCACATTACCCATTGTTAACATAAATAATTTAATTTGTGCAGCTTTAATAAACAAATTTTATCTGTTAAAACAAAATCTACCACCGTGTTATGTATTGAATCAATGGCTTTGTGCAATAAATAAATCAGTTTGGAAATAATTTATATTTTTTAAATAGAAATAAATAGAGTATGGCATTTTTTTTATGTGCATGTGTTTGTGTGTGTGTGTGTGTGTGTGTGTGTGTATCCAGGACTTGTTGAGAGTACGTACAAGAGCTTCGGTGTGTTTTACCGTCAGCAGTATTTGGAAGCCTACTTCAGACATTTACACCAAGAGGTGGAGCCTAAGAAAGAGGGGAGGGGCCTACTGCTCACACATGGGGTAGGAACTTCACATGTCAATCTGTCCATCAATCAACACTGGTTTACTCACTAAACATGAACTAAACATTCATGCTGCTGCAGCCGGAAAATCTGGAACATTTTTAAAACATTAAAGTTGAATCAGTGTGTGTGTGTGTGTGTGTGTGTGTGTGTGTGTGTGTGTGTGTGTGTGTGTGTGTGTGTGTGTGTGTGTGTGCAGCCTCAGTATGCTCTGGATGAAGTGCTGTACCAAGGGTCTGTAAAGTTCTTCTGCTGGGACGAGCAGGGGAAGAAATGCAAAGAGAGATATACGGTCCTAAAACGAGACTACAAAGTGGAGATACATGAAAATGTGGAGGTAACACTTGCACATACACTCTCTCACAAACAAAACATTACATTCAGAATCTGAACGACATGTATAGTGCCGGACATTGCTGTCTGTGTTTCCGCCTGTAGACTTTCAGTCGTGGATGTGCAGCTAAGCTGGTCCTTCAGACAGAAGGGGGCAGGGTGTTCACCACAGAGCAGGAGTCCAGAGCTCACCTGGAGAAAACCTGCGCCGGAATCCTCAATGGTAGTATTCATTATTTCCTACAGTATTTAACAATAGCTTTATTTACTGTGTTAACACCCAGCCATTTCATGTGATCATCAGTGACTGAGAGTTTCACTGTTTGTGATTTTCTGAATTTAACTTCTTTCTCTCACACTGACAATTGGCAAAACCAGAGAGGGAAGGAGAGAATTGTCTTATTAAATGACATTAGAAAAATATTACCATAAGCAGCACTTTGCATGAGACCAATCACACACTTGTTTCATTGTTATGTATGCAGCATTTCAAATATTGCAAAGTTACGCCATTTGTCCCCCCTTCATGGGATGTGAATTAAAGTTCAGGAGGTGGTGCACAATGTCTCCAGAGAGTTTAATCAGGATTACTCAAAGGCATCTTGAGTTAAGAGCAAATGTGTGATAGGCCATCCACTTGCAACAATCAATATGAAACAGATTTTGGTTTCACCCAAATTGGTAAATATTCTGTATAATGGGTTTTGAGGTACACTTTTCAGCATTTGTGGTGCCCCCTATGGGTTGGGCTCCCAATGTTTGGGTATACCTCTTCCCAAAAAGTTTTATGATGAATGGACAAATGGTTAATTAGTAATGTACAATTACCTGCTAAGCCCCACCCTTTTGAAAAGTTATTTTGATTTATGGATGCCATGTTTTTGGTTTATTTTCAGTTATTGGGTCTGGTTTCATGTTTGTAGTTCTTTCCAGCTCACAGCAATTTGAGCCACGGCAGAACACGACAAACAATAATAATGAACCAGTACAAGCTCAATAGGGTTCTACCCTTTTGGGGTTTGGATCTTAAAGACATAGGTCTTTAGGGTTTTAGGCCCATGCAGAACTGTACCCGAAACCCGAGATTCTGTTGGTATAGGTCAGGTTCAGGTCAAGTCGAAGAACTGTGTTTCTTGGTTGTGCAGAGGACATGTGGGTAAAACTTTGCAGTTTCATCGTCTCAAAATTCCTTTACTTTGTTTTCTTGAGATCAAAAAATTACTTTTTAATTTCAGAAAGTGTTATGCTGATGAGTGTGGCAAAGCTTGTCTGAAGGTGTGAACATAACATCAGTTTCATAACCATCTAAAGCCCTAAAGGGTGGATGTGACTGATACAAGAGAGATGTCATTGTCATTGTGGGTTTATTTTAGTAGTTTTAGTTTTCTGGGTTGTTTGGGAGGCTCTATCAAGAGTCAGCAGTTGCTATTACTGGTTAACCTGAACCTCAGCTGCTTTTATTTTGTTGAAAATAAAGTAATTGACGGTTCAGAGAGAATGCAGTCATACGGAAGCGTATTGCATTCACTTGAAAATTTATTTTTAATTATTTGTGTTTTTCTGAGTAATTTAATTTTTTTGTCTGTTTTTCTGAGTAATTTATTTTTTGGTTTGTTTTTCGGAGTAATTTATTTTTTTATGTTGGGTTTTTCGGACACATTTTTTCTAATTTTCTGAAATTTTTTTTTTTTCTTTTTTTCGGACAATTTTTTTTCTGAGTTTAGAGAGCATTTGAAACAATAGACACATTAATTCCTTTATTGAGAGCTCGATTTAACGGAAGCAAACATGACCGGCTTGTTTAGTTCAATCAAGTTTTACTTTGATCTGGGTTTAAGACACTGGGAGATAGTCCTGTCTTTAAGTCATATAGATGGTATTATCATTAGTTTGTCGACTCTACGCAGCCACCTGAGGACTTTGCGGTTGTTCAGAAGGAAAGCCCATTCAGATCTGTTAGACATAGCAATATATACATAGCAAAATTGACCCGGTACGGTAGATAGTTGAAGATGGGGCATTTTGTGCGGGCAGAGGTCACCATAGGTCCATAGGAGTCACTTCCAGGTTGGAGGTTCCTCAAATTACTCCGAAAAACAGGGGGGGAAATATTAACACGAAAGAAAGAAAAACATACTCAGAAAAACAGAGAAAAATGACTCCGTAAAACAGGAAAATAATTACTCAGAAAAACAGTGAATGCAATACGCTTCCATACAGTCATGCCCATTCTGTAACACTGCTGTCTTTGTGTGTCTTTGTGTGTGCTTAGGAGCGAAGGAGGACTCTTCTTCGTTGGTACCGTCTCCAGATGTGTTCACTGTGTATCTGCACCTGCCTTACACAGGCTACACCTGTTTCCTGTTCCAAAAGGAAGAGGAACGAGATCACTTCCTCTCTGTCCTCAAGACCTGTATTAGACACTGCAGCCTTGGTAAAACACAAGCACTCAAACACTGTTTCTTGTTTGTGGTTTCTGCTCGCTTTTGGTCAGGCTGTGAAATGATTAACTTTAAAAAAAAGTTAAATTCAATGTGCTATTTTCTTGTTATTACCACTTGTGGCCACAGTAGCCACTTCTCAGTAAAAGTTACATGGACTTGCTTTAAGTAGGAAGCTGGAGTCAGGATGTGTTCAGCATAGCTTAGCATTAAGACTGGAAGCAGAGGAAAACAGCAAACTAGGTTCTGTCCAGAAAGTTTGCTACTTAAGGTCCAGTGTGTAACATTCAGGAGGATTTATTGGCAGTAATTGAATATAATATTCATAGCTATGTTTTCATTAGTGTATAAATACCTGAACATTATTTTTTAGTGTACTTTCATTACCTTAGAATGAGCTGCTTTTATCTACAAAAGGATCAGGTCCTCTTCTATGGGGTCCGCCATGCTGAACCGCCATTTTTCTACAGTAGCCCAGAACGGTCAAGCCGAATACTGGCATTGTACATTTAGAAAGAAAACAAACAAACAGTCTATTTCCCAAAATGTCCCCCTTCAATTCATTCAATTCAATTGTATTTGTAAAGCACCAATTCATAACAAAAGTTGTCTCAGGACACTTTTCAAATATTATATTTAAATACTTATAACATTATTTACAGAGACCCAACAGTTCCCATGAGAAAGCACTTGGCGACATGGCAAGGAAATTTCCTTGGAAATTCTGATCTTTTCATTTCTGTAGGTGAAGTCAAGGTATTTGAAATGAATTGATGTAAAATACTCCATGACTTGAATTGTATGCTTTTAAAAAATAGCCCCATACATATTGAGCCATAATAATTGAAATAGGCATCATCAACTTATGTTTCTTTGATGTCAGATGGAGGTGTAAAATATTGGCACCTGCTGTAGCAGACTGCTCTCGTCGGTTGCCTCTTTTTAAATTTGTCACTCAACTGATGGCAATTGCCCTAGCAACAGATACAAATATTAATGCTGTTGGCTTCCTGTGTGGTTAGGATACAAACCAGAAACAACCCCTTTACTTACGGTTGCGAAAACAAAGCATGCCATATCTGTGCAGCCACCAAGATATCCTCAGCAGTAACAGGAAACAACACACAGCTGGCCAGCAGAGACTCTCGACTCTTAATCCCAAAGTACTACGTTACTTTTTAAAAAAACAGAACAATCTAAGTTTACTTGTATTACTTTATTGTAATTTTAATTCAGTGTAGGCTGGCCTTGTTGTTTTCTAATAAAAAAGTAAAAAACACAAAAAATTCCACTTCTCTTTTTCTCATCCCAGTTAGAGTTTCTGCAATTTCCTAATGCTGCGCCCAGCAATATATTTATGAGACTAATTGGTCAGATATAAAAGAAGTCGCTCAAAGGGATGAACCCACAGAGAATTATTTCCAGGCAACAAGCTGGTGAACATAGTGTAGTATTTTGCTGTTATATAATCCCTCTCTCCGGCTGGGAATAGTTGTAGGTGAATATCTGACTAAGACTTGCATGCTAATGTTTCTCTATGTCTGCTGGATGTGTGAATGGGCAACTGAGCCTCCCTAAGCCACACCCCTTCTGGACCATCGGTCAACTCTCTCCTCTCCTCTACTCAGATAGAACTGATTAGCTAGCGTTTTGCTAACATTTACTATCAGATGTAAAAAGCTAGCTAATGTTTAATGTAGATGCTAACGGAAGCTAATTTAAGATGTGACTATATATACTATAACCATCTACAAAATGTGGTTCTTATCAACATAGATAAGCCTAGCACATAGCATATCTAATTACAGCAAAGAAGAAAGTTCAGACCGAGGCTCAACTGAAACGCAGCTATTCTTATCTGTAGGGGATTATACACTAAAGAAATATTATATTCCATTTCGGCCAATAGATCCTCCTTCATGTTACAAACTGGACCTTTAAGTGCCAAAGATATATATATATATATTGGGAGAGCAGTCATTTTGCTGTACTAAATAACCACCTAGATTTAAAGAAGTGGTGTGTCTGTGTTGAGATCTTTGTTAATAGTCAATTTAAAGACTTTTTTTTTTTCTGCCTTAAATGGTTATCCTGTGTCCTAACACTTTAACCACCAGAGCACATCACATCATATGTCAGTGACAGTGGAGAGGAAATGATTCATGCTGCCTGCCAGTCAGTTTTTAGCTACACCAACATTATTCACACTGATGGTGTTGACAGTAAAGGGAAGTATATTCAGCATTCGTGGAGCTTTCTGTTCCTTAAATGTCCTCCATCAATTAAGTAAGAAATGAATGCCTGCAAGTCTTATGGGGAACTGTGCCACAAAAAGAAACAATAATCTAAGAATGAATGTTAAAACCACTGCACACAGTAACACTAGGAATAATAACTGGAAAGACTGGACGGTAGGAATCATAGCAGTGACAGCATTAATGCACGATGTGAAAACAGTAATGCAAAGATAAAAAAGATTAAAAACCTGAAACATGTCTTATAACTTTTCTTTCCTCTACAGAGATTTCCAACACCAACAATGTATCTCTCAATACTTTCTGACTCCCCTAACCTGTCCATTGGTCCTACCTAAGCTGTACATCTTAAAAATCACAAGTTTCTTCTTTACATAATTATGTTTGGTTCATTTTAAGCTTTTATTAGATAGCCGACATTAGAGAGACGACAGGAAATGAGGGTACAGAGAGGTTGGGAATGACATTCGACCTTCATGTGACAAAGGTCCCTGATCGGCCCTAGCTCTAACCCTCAGGCCACCAGGTATACTCCTGTTTTGAAGCAGCTAGCATTTTGCAGACATTAGCTAGCTAATTTAAGATGTGACTATATATGTCCCTTTTTCTTTTTAACCATCTTCTAAATGTGGTTGTCTTTTTACACTACTAACATTGACGAGCCTATCCAAGCACAGGAAAGGGTTGCTAAACTGTTATTGGAGCACAGTTTGAGCACAGAGCAAAAAGGGGCGGGACTTAGAAAGGGTCAATACTTGTTAATAGATCCATTCATTGTTCGTTTGGGTCTTTTCATAGTATTTGTTGACCATTATACAATGAATTAAAAAAATAAATAAAAATAGGACCAGAAACTACATACTGCCTGTTTCTCATACAATAGCCCTACAATAAAACAATCTTTTTTTTTTTAAATTAAAGTTTAATTAAATTGTTGAGTTGGGACTATAATCTTATCAAATGTGTACTTAATGAGCATGAAAATTAGGTTTTGATGTCCACACTTCCTGCAGATCCCTGGTGTGATTCATCCTACGAGAGCCAGGCATACGTCCGAGCCCTACGACTCTACAGACAGGACAAAGGATGCTATGAATCCTGGGAAATGCTGCTGGGCACTGAGGAAAAAGTCAGCAAACACACAAACACACACACACACACACACACACACACACACACAATATAGCTCTCAGCCGGTGGTTCTTCGTCCACTCGCTTATTAAATTGTGTTTGCGTGTGTAGGTGCTGGCAGCCCAGGTGATGGATGAAGTGTTGCCATGGTTACAGAGTCAGCTTCAGTCCAGAGTGAAGGGAAAGAAGACTGAAAGGATGCGGCAGTGGTTGGCAGTGAGTTGAACCAACACAACATGCTGAGTGACAGCTGGCCTCAGTTACAGTGTGTTATCAGTATGTTGTCTTTCCTGCTGCTGGCTTATTTATATGCGCTGAATGAAGGCTTCATATAATGTAAATGTATGTTCACTCATTTGAGAGGATCAGTTCACTCACATGCAAACACGCAGATTGTTTTGGATTTACTGTATTTGACCCGGTTTTAAGATTTCAAAAAGTACAGTTTTTCTTTGGTAGGAAGTACCTCAGTGTTCTGCGCGACAGATTTTAGTTTTCTGTTTTGGCCAAAAATGTCTAGTTTGAAAGTAAAGTTTGCTGACCCATGCCCTACAAGGAGCTTTCATTTAATGTTGGTTCTGGTGGCCCCTGTGGATAAAAGTGGTCGTGTTTCTATTGTCACTGTCTCTTTATATCAAGGGGACTAAAGGAGAATAACTATATAGAAATATCCAATCATCTCTCTAATGGTCTTGTTTGTTTATGGAGGAATCAGTATTAAACTGAGACTGTTTTATAACCAGTTAAAAACTCCTTGAAGTATGTTTAAATGAATCACTAGTGAAAGCAAAGAATCAAAGAAATCAAAAATAAAGTTTGTGAAGTAGTGAATTCGGAGATAAGTAATTCAAAATGTATTCTCAAAATTCTGACTTTAAAGCTGGCCTTCATCAATATTTCTTATAATAACAATGGATCAAATGAGTAATGTGAAAGGGCTCTGTCAGTGATGAACCCACAGGCAATTAGCATCTAACTCTGCTGTCCCCTCTTTTACGGCCCACAATTTGACTGTTTTGGTTCAGTCTCAGTGCTCTTATTAACCTCATTTCCAGCAGCAGCAGCCCGGTGTACACCACCCGTTCAGCACCAAACAGCAGACATATTCGAGCATTTAGCATATTTTTCTATTTTCTTTTGGAGACCAAAACAGCTCATTCAAACTGTTTGCTAACTCTCTCGCCCAAACAACTGTACAGTCTGTGTGTTGTGTTTACAGCTTGTTATGGTGCCCCCAAGTGGCCAAAAGAATCCATGTATTTAGACTTATTTTTCCTCTAAATTCTGATTGTAATCTTGTAATCTGATTTCTCAGAACCTCACTTGAGAGAATTTAGATATTAATCTGATTAGAATTTTTTTTTCTCTGCAGCTTTGAACACTGTAAACACTGCTATCTTTAACCTTGTGTAAATTTACGGAAATCCTTGTTTTATGGTACATTACTATCCTGTGTTTCTGTATGTATAGACAGTGCAGGCAACCCACACTTTGGTGCTGGAGCAACTCACTGCCAGCCTGGAGGCTCTGAGGGAGGAGTGCCGTCAAACAGCAACAGCCAGTCAAGCCCTGATCCGATCCAACCTGGACCAGATAATGTCCTCTCACTGCTTCCTGGAGGAGAAAGTTAAAGGTTAACCCCGAAAAGTTTGAACATACCTAAAAAACAAATTAATTTGTAGTGCAAACACAGTGCTGTTAAATTAATATCCGGGGCTACAATCTGATAAGAGTCCTTCATTAACTTCCCCCTCAAAAGTCCCTCTCAAACATTGTATGAATGTGTGTGTGTTCCAGTGTGTATATGTGAAGAAGCAGAGAAAGTGTACGATGAGGCTGTAGCACCTTACATGACCTCCATCCTTGAAGCGCTAACAGAAAACATAAGTGCAGGGATTCAGGGGATGCAACGCACGCTGCAAACACAGATGGACTCGGCCTTCACACACACAAATGGAGGGACAGAGGAGATGAACAAGGTGAGAGAGACAGGTGTTGTTTTTTTTTACAAACTTTAGCTTACATTTCCACTTTCTCAAGGGCTGCATCTTAGTTTAGTCATTGTATTATTAATATCATTATTATTTGGTTTTGTGTGTGTTGTCCAGGCCTTGTCCACTCTGCGCTCCATCAGTCTGGATAAGTGCTACAGGCAGGTGGAGAACATGACAGAGAAACTTGAAGGCCTTAAACAGCGGTTTGGACTAAGCAGCACTCAGAGACTGGTTCACTCAGCACATCTGGAGATGGAGGAGGTACGGAGCAGTGTTGGAGGTTCAGCTGGGTTTGGCAAATTGCAAAATTCAATGCAGCCGAGGCCTACCCAGGACCCAACGTAAATCAGAATAAGGTCAAATCCTACAGTGTTTGTCATTTTGTATCTTCCAGCTGTTGGACAGCGCTGTGTACACCTTGGAGCTGTTCCTTCAATCATCAGCCAGACTGCAGCCCTCTCAGATTCCCGTCAAGATGGACAGAGCTAAAGAGAGAGTCCTGAAGGTAAAGAAATGACAACAAGGAATATATAATACATTTTAAGACAAGAAATGCCTTTTCAGTATACAAAAAAATCCACCTTGCATGATTTCAACACATTGTTCATTAAAGTGATTTTCTGACCAAAGTGGATTGAAAATGTTTTTCTGAATGTGTGAACAACCTAATTATTTAATACAATTTAGGATCAATGATCTGCATGAAATGAACTGTTTTAGAAATTAAAATACAAGATATGAAATGTGAAGAAAAAGATTCAGGCACACACCATCGAAATCCTGTACTGCATAGGAAGCTGCTGTATATTATTTTTTTAAGATACACATATACAGTGTATATGTGCAATGCAGTGCAATGTAACATATTCTGTCACTCTAGAGTAATATTTTTGCTAAATAAAGCAGTAATATTCAAGTAGTATTATATCAGATTTCAGGTAGCAAAATAGCTCAATAGTAACAATAGTCAGAGAAAATAAGTGTTTCAGTGACTCCATCTGTGACCAACAATGGAACAAGGTTGTGCATACTTTTGCAAAGCAGACTATTACTCATTTATATTACTTGTTTTCTAAACTACTCATGTGCTAAACAAATACTTTAAAACTTAAAATGTTCAAAATCGATGATATTAGGACTAAGTGAAACGTGTGTGTGTGTGTGTGTGTGTGTGTGTGTGTGTGTGTGAGCAGCAGCTGGACTATGACAGCAGAGTTGTCCAGAGGAGGCTCTATCAGGAAGCTTTATTGGAGATCACTCTGCCCGCTCTCACCAAGAGGATGGACAGCAAGTGGAAAACTGTAGGCCAAACACACATTCCAGTGTACAAATTTATACTCCGACTGCAGTACAAATGGTTTTACTAAGCATTGCATGTGTTTTCTATCCAGGAGCTGCAGCAGTTCGAGCAGTACATCTTCTCAGACTACAGCAATTTTATCTTGGTTCACAATGTCTACGATGATGTGCTGAGAAACATCCTCAGTAAGGAGATAGAGACAGGTAACACACACAAACAGACACACATTAAGTGAATGTATAGCCTAAAAAAAACTTTGTTATAGTTCTTTTTATCTTATTTTGTGCAGCAGGGCTGTAACCAGGTTTTTAGAAATACTGAGGTCCACCAACCAATTGGGTACCAGCCACCAAAATAAAGTAAAATAACTGTTATATGTATTAATATGATCTCTATAAACTCTCAATGATGTAAATGCTGTTTTAATATCTTGCACAAATTCCAGCAATATAATTTTAGCAAAGAAATGCAAAACTCTTTATTCTAATTTATATATATATTCATATATAGCCCTCTTTGAAAATCCTCAGAATATAGTAATATATGTTTTCTGAAAAACTAAATATAGGAATACCGACCTGTAAATAAACAGCTAAATGTGTATTTTGCCAGTTTTCTTTCCACCTGTGTGAAAGAAGACAGGTTATTCAAGGGTTTAAGGGGGCAAGCTGAGCCTTCAGCTATGGTGACAGGATTAGGATTTTGGAGTGACTGGAAAGATATGCGCTCTCCCTTGTGGCAATTCAAAATAAATTAGGAACTTAATATAGGACTGTATGTTATTCACAATTATCCCGATAATAAAAGTTGTGTAAAAACAAAATATAATAAACTTAAATGAATAAAATTGTATATTGTCCCATCCCTACCTGCCCCACTGTTTAAAAACCCCTGCAACAGATCAATCCAGCAGTGAGGTAATAGTTATTTAGTCATTTGGTAAAATAAAATAAAAATGAAAGTCATAAAAAATAAAAAAATTACTCATTTACTCAGAAAAATAACATCTGCTAAATAATACATGGAAAATGGAACTTGAAACTTAATTTCTAACTCTGCCCCTTCTCTCCTCAGCCGTCCAAGACGCTGCCAGTAAGAAGAGCAATAATCTGTTATTGGACACTTCTGATCTGGCCATTAGTCAGTACAGTCTGCTGGGACATACGCCTCCTTGCTCTGCACCAGACAGCCCAGCCATTCACGCACGAGACTCCTCCTCAGCAGCACCCAGTGAAGAACCTGCTCCTGCGGTGGAGGAGGGAGGTCAGATGGTCACAGCTGACGTTTGCCTTCAGGGTGACACTGATGTCAAATCTGACCCCAGTACCACTCAAAGCTCCGAGCAGAGCATGACGCTTCTGTCTCCTGTGATCATCGTGACCCAACAGTTTGAGGAATCATCCACAGAGGAGGCTTCTTGCTTCGAGGAAACCCAAGAGGAGGTCCAGCTTGGAACTGACACGCCATCAACTACAGCAGGGTCTTCCAACTCAGCCACGCCAGACTCTGAGACAGCTATTACACATGAAGCTGGTACATCTGATGCACCTGCTAACCCAGAATCCACTAATCCCGCGCCAGACTCTCCCGACCTTTCAGTGTCCACTCTATCCTCGCTGCAGTCCACAGATGTTCCAGCTGAGTGCGCTCAAAGTGATCGATCTGCAACGCCTGAAAATTCTGCCACACCTGACCTCTCAACCTCGGATCAAATAACAGAAGACACAGCGTCTGTCCAGCTTCCCTGCCCCTCCTCGCCACACCCACCTAGTACAGACGGTCCAATGAAAATCAGCCTTGTGTCACTGAGCGAGGCCGTCGGTTGCAACTCCGCAGCACCTTCTGTAAAGCAGACGATGGCACAGCAGACCACTGACAGAGCTGTCTACCTGACGGGAGAAATAAAGGACAACTGGGAGGTGGAGAGGGTAAAAGAGGAGAAACAGAAAGAGGCAGAACAGGAGAAAGAGGTACATGAGAGAATCGAAGAGGAGAAAAAAGAGACGGAGATTGAAGTAGGAAAAGAGGAGATGGAGGTGGGGAGAGGTGAGGGTCAGACAGGAGGTGAACCTGTGGATGAAGGGTGCCAATCCTCTGAATCTCCAGTAGAAGGCGCCACAGAGCAGAGAGAGAGTGAAGAGAAGGCGGATGAAGAGAAGAAAGGAAGTGAGATTGAGACTGAGAAAAGAAAAGAAGATGAGGAGGAGGCAGAGAAAGGAGGAGATCATGCAAAAAAAGAAGAAAAGAAAGAAAAAGAGGAGGAAGAGGAGGAGGTTCTCCAAAGCCCTCAGCCAATGGAATCGCAGCCAGAGAGAGTGTCTGAGCCGCCATTGGACAGTGTGTCTATGATCAGAGAACTTGTGACCGAGATCACTGAAGTGGAGACAGTAATCAGCCCCTATCCCAACGGCAGCCATACACCCTGACAGACAGGTTACCATGACGACTGACTGTGGATCTTCCAGCCAGATGTACTTTATTAATAACTACTTAACAGTTTCTTTACCAGTTTTACTATTACTGCATCAGGGTTTTGTACTACTACAGTTTGAAGACAGATATTTACATTCTGAATTTGACATTTTAAAAGTTACTACTTCTTTTTACTTCAACTGTTAACATTTGCAGTTATTTGAATGAAATGATCCAATAAAGATTGAAACCAGTTGGTGCTAGGCAGCTGCCGGTGATTGAAACAATGCTGATGAGAGCACTGAGGGTGAATCATAACAAGAACGTGGCGGTAAAACCAAAACAATTAGCTGAAAGAGGCCAAAAAGCTCCGTAGAGCTGAGTGGACTGCAGAACTTCTCCCATGATTTTCACGCTATTCCACCAGTCAACATCAGGGCGCATCAATAACGTTGTTATAAATTACCATTGTTCTTTTTTCTAGCATTTGGCTGGTGGTAATTTTGTTCCCTGGTCAGCAGTTAGTGGAATAATATAGCAATGTGCCAACAAAGGCAGGGAAGAAGGCAAGCTAGAAAACACTGGTGAAGGTTTCAACTTCAATACAAATATTTTATAGACAATGTGGATTTTAAATGCTTTCATGTAATTTTTTTTTTTACTGAAATCCTGATATATGTCAAATAATAATTTTAAAGGTCCAGTGTGTAACATTAAGGAGGATCTATTGACATAGATTGAATATAATATTCATAGCTATGTTTTCATTACTGTTATTATGTACAGAGTGAGCAGGTTGCCTTCAATGGAGTCTGCCATGTTTCTACAGTAGCCCAGAACGGAGATAGGGGTGTTCATGTTTTTCGGGTGGAAGGGAAAGGTAAAGCTAGGGAGGTGCAATTTGCAATTACATCACTAGATGCCACTAAATCCTACACACTGGACCTTGAATACTGTAATTCATTTGAGGGGTCTGTATGACTTTTTACCTTGTGTGCTTCCATAAAAACGTATTGAAACTTGTGACTGAATTTTCTTGTTTTTTAGTTCACATTTTTTTAAAGATTTCTAAATAAATTCAATGCCCACGTCTACCTTAAGTGATGTCAGGTTAGTGTCAAAACACAAGAGACAAATGTATTTTATACATTTTAATAGAATACTGTCAATAAACCAGATCAAATGCGTTTGGCAGACCTACAAGGTACATCTAATTCATTTTGGTGAGAACGGTGAATGTAAACAAAACTGCATTAGTACTAAAAAGCTCCACAGGGAATTGTGAACACGATTTTAAAACAGTCATACAAAATGTGGGATTTTTTTGTTTTTTATTCAAGAACCTGAGCATGAAAGACAGTGAGAGAGATGGAACGAATCTATAGTTCAGTACTTGCTTCAGTTTACAGTGTCTTGTTAAGTAGCAATAAAAGCAAATATAAAAAACACAATAATGTACATAGATTAAGAATAACTTAAGATAAAAAAACATAACCATGCAGCAAAATTTAACTATATGTGCAAATATGCCTATAAGTGATACAGTATGTAGCTACCTGTCAGTGCCCTGCAAATACAGTGTGTGGGACCCTCCTTTTCATATGTAGTTCAGTCAATGCCACAATGCATTTTTGTTTTGAGTGTAAGAGTAATAGTACTGCTCTAATTCACATCTATACATTCAGACATGGATGGTTCTGTTGTCTAGAAATGCCATGCTCAAGGGAACAGCATTTGTTCCCTTAACCAAGCTAGCACTGGTATTTAAACGGATGAGAATCTAGTCACAGTCCTTGGTGCATTGTTTTCTTGTTGACGGTTATTGTACTAATCTTTTTGCAATAACCCTCCACAGCTCGAAGAATACACAGTAAACAATGACACAGTCATTTCTGCAGGAAACCAGCAGGAAACCAGCGAGACTGAAGACCATGAACAGAGTGGACACAAGAAAAACATTCACCCCCTGCACGGCTCAAGTCTCCTGATCTCACTGCTGCAGGGAGATGCCAAAGAGCATTATGAGCAATGATGTAGTGCCTGATACACACAGTGACGCTTCTCCAGAATGACCTCACTGCCCTCTCCTCAAACCTGCACACACAAACAAAAGCTCTCTCCTGATTGGTTAAATGTTCAAATATATACTGACTATGAATTATTATTAAGGTGTTTATAATTCAACATGTTAAAACTTGCAAACTGTTAGTCTGAAGAATTTACATGCTTTCAATGTAGTGCTTTCTCGCCATGAGAGAACTAGATCCGAGGATTATGGATTGGCTTCTCCAACCTGGGGGTGTGCCGACCGCTGGCAACTGGAGGTAACACACTGACTATGGATAAGTGTCTGATACTACCCCACTTCAAAAACCTGAAATATGCCTTTAAAGAAGTTGGTTTCTCTGACCTCCTGCAGTACAAACAAAGAATAACACTAGATGGATGTACACTAGACCCCAGTACTGTGTCAGACCATCTCTGGCCCTGCTACATGTGCTGGCTGTGACTTCCTGCAGGTAAAGCTGGTGAGCGGATGCCCTGTTTCAATGTGCGCTGCATTCAGGTCATCCCAGTGTTGTTTAAGAGGACAGATACTGTGTTGGGGGTGAATGGTGGCAGGTCAATATCATTCATTGTATTCTTGACATACTCTACGTCCAGTTGGAAAGAGAGGGCCCACTTCTTCTGCAGTGACAGAGTTTCTAATTTTCTCATTGCTGAATAAATATAATACTGCTATGGTTCCATCAGTGACATACACAGAGCCATTGGCTTGCACAAGACGGCAACATTTCTCAGGCCACCTTCACACAGGCTTGCTTTTTTGGATCGCAGCTGTAAAATTGACTGTCCCCCTCAGTCCTAAGCCTGCTGGCTCACACTCTTTCCAATCTGTGGTAATGCTTTCCTCATCAACGTACAGCTGTTGATCACTGTTGCCTGGAAACAAGCTTGGTGCCTGTTTTGACACGCATGGGGGGAAATAGAGAATAGCGGCAGAGATGTGGCCCAGGGGACCACCTGTGCAGTCTGCAGCACAAGTGAAAAACCAGCGGCCCTTTTTCCACTAACCTCGTAGGAAAAAACAGATCACTGGACTTGAATGTTATTCTCTGTATCAGAATCAAAAATACTTTAATAATCCCAGGGGAAGGAGGCTTAGCTATCTTGCAGCCAGGTTCAGCCTAGCCAGTGTGAAAGCACCCTAAGTTATAAGCACCAACAACAATGGGCCCATTTTACAGCGACACAGACAAGAGAAAGCAATGTACACTGTAGTGCATCTCAAACAGTGGAATGTAAGAACACAATAGATTAAACAAATATTCATTATCACGTTGGAAAAGAACATGCAAAAACTCAACAAGTCTGTTCACATTCTTCTTTGATTTGCCGACCCACTGGGAACTCATTATAAGAAGCCAGTGTAAGGAAGACTTAACTACTCATGTGTTTAACTTAATGGTGAATGAACAGATGGGTAATGACTGCATGGAACTGCAGTTTATTAAATAACTAGTTGAAAAACTGCAGTGGTAGTGGGTCAGTCCTTATTAGTATGATGTCTTTCAGCCTTTATGATCATTGTCTTAGTAACTATACCTCAGTGTCATGAGAGATTCTAACAGTGAAAACAGTGGACATGCAGGACACGAATGGGGAATAGATCGAAGATGAGAGGACGTCCTGAAGTGTTGTGTGTGTCTATGAGTACTGATAGAAGGGCTGCTCATCAGGTCTGAAGCCATAGGCAGTTGCTGGTCGTCCCGGTGATGAGCTGGTCTGATCGAAGACATCGCTGCCATCTCTGGAAAACAAAGCCAGTCAAATTAACCCAGACAGTTAACTGACACGGGTTGGACAGGAAGAGAGAGTTCTTCTGGATGCCTCAGAGCCCTCATGGGTTTGCAAGCAGGAGAGGAAGGACATGAATTTATGTGTATGTTTCATGAGTTTCATCCTCAAAGAAGCCAAATTCAACTTGTGTGCCATCTTCCTCCCAACAGTGTGTGGCTGGTAGAGTTTTCACCTTGTGTGTGTGTCATCATGGTAAAATGTGGTCCTGGAAGCACCTACTGTGATGGAAACTAGGGCAGCACGATTATGGCCAAAATGATAATCATGATTATTTCACACTTTGCACTTCCTGTGACTAACTTACTTAAAAAATAAAGGTCAACTCATGTTTTGCCAGTTAAATGCTTTTAATATGCTGCATTTTGTCCGGGAATAAAAGCATCCAGGCTGCAGCTGCACGGTGTGTGCACAGCGACGTGACAGCTTCTAAAAAGTTGAGGAAGCGCTTGACTTTAATATACAGTAGAGCACGCTTTTTAAACGCCAATATTGTAGACGACCAGATTTAATTCAATTAATATTCTATTAATTGTGTAAGCTCCCTATGGTTTCTCGGTTTGATTGATTTGAGCAACAGTTGACAAAACAATACAGGCATTTTAAGAGTTTGTGATTGTTGCTTCCAATGTTTCTGCTCTATGTTGACAAACTCACCCTGTATGGTGCAAGTCTCCATTCTGAGGCTGTAGGTCACTGAAGAAATCTGGGCTGACTGAACCGTCTGCTGGAGTTATTCCATCTAAAACACACATACACATGAGGATAAAATACACACACACACACACACACACACACACACACACACACACACACACACACACACACACACACACACACACAAATAGTGATTGCACTTTTCTAAATGCTACTACAGTATTTTAATCGGTAAGTAATACAGTGATTACCTAATCCCTCATTGAGTACTGCACTACATCAACGTTGCAGCTTCAATTTCAGTGGACTAAGAATAGAGTCAATCCACACACACACCAAAAGCTTTAGTGTTGGTGCATAAATGAATCAATAAATAACAATGTGTGTTCCTTTTCTGTATACTTCTCATGTGGTCTAGTTGGAAACTATTACTGTCCACTGAGTGTGTGCTAGTTTTTGTGCTATGTCTGATATTAGTAAGCCTGGTGAAGAGTCAGAGGCTGCCTGCCGCTGAAAAAGGGAGCTGCTTCTGAGGACCTCGACAACAATGGAGGAAGAGAGTGGAAGGGACGGAATTAGCTCTATACTAACTTTACTGAAACAGGTACAATGATCTGTAGCTACTATCACTATAAGCTTGACTAAAATTCTTAAAAAGGCAAAGCTTGATCATTCAGAATCCAGTACAGCGTGTCACTTTGTGTGGTTCTACATGCATGGACCAGTGTTTTGCGTGTGTGTACCTGCACTATAGAACAGATCAGTCCTATCGTTGTCGTTATCATAGAGATACGGTTCAGACTCATCAGCTTGGCGACTCTCGACCATCTCCAACCATTGGTTGTTATGGAAACGGAACTTCTCTGACTGAATCTTCCTCCCCCACTCCTCATCGTACTCCTGGATGACGAAGAAAAGGGTAAATAAATTAGAACAGCCTACAGACAAAGACAGGTGTGCCTCTATTCCTTCTTAAAGACTGTCCTGATGCATTACTCTTGTCACTAAGCGTTGCTACTCTGCGCATGCGTAAGCACAGTGTGTGTTTCACTTACAGCAATTATATCGAGGGTGTTGTCACACACTTTTCTGATCTCAGCATTCTTGTCATGCATCAGATCTATCAGGTAGGCTGGAGCCTCTGGAGAGAAGGTTAAAGAAAGAAATTTCACCTAAACTTCAGGGGGTGTGAACCCAGCTAAAAGACTAAATGACTTCATCTTTAAAAATCCACTCGAGACACATTTTAAAAGGTTGTAAAAATACTCTGTGGTTAATACTGCTATGGTTAACATTTTGTTTAACATGGTTTTTCTAAAATAAAAAGATCTATGAATGCGCCGCCCACCACCGCTGCTTTCTAGGTTGATTGGTGAAAGAACAGCATCCATCAAGATGGCCAGCATTAGATTCAGCCATAGCCTACAGGTTTGAGCCTCAGTCAGAGCCAGACTCAGATGAGGAGTCTGCACTAAATCAGCGACTACCAGACGTATCAGAACGGTAGTCAGTGTAGTCAGGCTCTTTATTTGTACATGTTGTTTGTTAGCTTGTAACTGGCAGTGATGTTAGAGTGTGTTGTCATTACGTAGTAGCTCCAGGGTTTGGTTTACATCCAAAAACTGCACACCTGGGTTGCTATCAAAACTTTCACTATGCTAGCGCTAACTCTCGCTCGCTAGTGACAAACCCTGCACAGATCCAAGTCAGTAAAGTCAATGTCTGACATTTTAGAATTAACATAAGATACACTTTTTTGAGTTGAGGGGATCTTTTAACATTAGACAGACAGAGTGCACTGTGGGAAGGATACGGGTGTCTTTGATGATGACGTCTCGCGTAGCTTGGTGAAACACCATCTGATAGAAGACGTAGACGATCTGACACACAAACTCATCATCCTCCTGTTGGGCTATATTCAACAAACAGAAGAACACATGGAGAGCAGGTTATAATACTGATCATTTCATAAGGTATGATATCTATTAGCAGTTTTTTCTTGGGATCATTGGGTTATTGCATTCAAACAAAAGAAAAGTAATTTTCATTTCAGGTCAGTGAAACAGATAAATCCAATTGTGTTTTGGAGTTCATCTAAACCTCAAGACTTTTATACAAAAGAGCATAAGGACAACTACTCATTGTGTCCACCTTGAACAAAAAGCACAGGTGTGTGTTTTACCGTTCAGTAGCTCGATAAGGGCAGGAATAATGCCGGATTTAGCCAACATGGCAGCGCAGGCGTCATCCATGGAAACCGTTCCGATCATTATCACTACCTCCAGGATGAGGTCATCCTCTGCTGAGCCTGAAACACAGTAAAGAGACGAACCTCACGAGATGAAACTTTATTAAGTGTTGGTTATATGGGCTGCTGTAGTAGAAAATAAGTTGCTGCAAAAGAAAGTATTATAAGTGATGAAACTTTTAAACAACACACAAAGTAAAGAACTGAGCACACTGAGCCAAATCAAGTAGTTTAGGCGGCCATATGCAAGAGTCGGACTGATATTTTAAAAAACACCAAAAGACTAAATTAAAAAGAAAGAAATAAAAATCCAATAATGATATGTCAGATATCTTTACAAACACAAACTTGAACTGACATGAACAACATATTAAGCAAGGATCCCTAAAATGTGTTAAAGAGTTGTGAGAAAGAAATGACCTAGGTTAGATATTTTACACTTAATAAACTTTATTATAAAAGATGGCAGTAAAGTTGAAGTTAACTTCACTGGAAATAAAATACTTATGCTATATGCTATGCTAGGTGCTATAAATAAAAACATAAATAAAACAATAAACTTAAAGTCAAAATATACACAAACTGCAACCATATATGCTATATGCCCTAATATAAACATATATTTGCTAAATATGTGGCTTTATCATTTGGGCTCTAAAACATTATCATTAAGATATATTTCCTGGTTTCTGTCTAATCAGTACCTGGTTTAAGTCTGTCTTTGAGGTAGGGTACCAGGTTGTACTCCTTCAGCACCAACTCCCAGTCCAGGTCAGGGATGGTGAGGTTGGCTAGCGTCCCCAGACACTCGAGAACCCACACCTCCTCTTCCTCTGCACGGATCTCTGCTGCCAGGTCACCGACATAGTCCTGACAGAGACAGACAAGAGAGCATTAACATTATGGGCTATTAAAACCCTTCTGGTTCTACTGCTAATAGTTCTACAACTAACAGCATTACTAATACCAATTTGGGCCAAGTTTACGGAGATCGTTGGAAAATGGCCCCAGATTAGACGCAAATCGCCGCGGTCCTGTGAGAACAATCGCTGTGTGAACTGAGACAGAGACACAGCTCAAAGGATCGCCGATGCCTCGCAGACACCCAAAAAATATCAGGCAGAATAAATATTTGGTCCTGTCAGAGATGACTTGGGGAGCCATGCCATTAGATACAGCCAATGAGAGCAGGCAAGCCACTCTCACCGGCAGACAGGAAGCAGCGAACCGGTAGTTACGGTAGTAGTAGTTGGTAACAGCTGAAGAAACAGTGTTGTGAGTTGTGTTCAATTTGGCACTTTTTGGCCCGCTGCTCATTCCCACGGTCTCCCATTGAGAGCACAGCAACAACAGAGACTGAGCCAGTTGCGGAGATAAATGTTAAGTACAGCATAAAGTTTGTTAATATGGATTATATTGATGCCGAACTGACAAGACGACTGTCAGCATGGCGCACATTAGCTTGTGTGTCGAGAGTTATGTGTTTTTATGGACACATTGGGAATTTTAGATTTTTAGTGTTTCTTAAAGGGAGTTTGGTGCAGTGAGCCTTTAGCTGAATTCAAACTGCATTCAAACATTTATTACCACTACAGAAACACTAGAAAGCTGCTCAATGTGTACTGTGGATAGTTAGGCTATTAGTAGTTTAATAAGGTGTCTATTTATTACTATCGGCTTACTGTACCCAGTTTCAAACGGCAGTATGCTGTAAATGTTTGCCCTTTGTGCCTGTATGTTTAAACTACTTTACTAATTAAACTTGATGTGCTTGTTATTAGTGGTGTTATTAATGACTCCTGATGAAATGTAGTTTGGAGACCAGTCTGAGGGATTACTCCTTGTGAAAGACCTAGTAGTGTGTGACCCACTGCTGCTGATCAGTCACGTAGTGTGCAAATGACAACAACTTCAAGACTCCAGATAACAAGACAGAAAGTTGTGTGACCAAGGCTTAATACTAATAACAATACTTAGTTAATTATCATAGCTGTTTTGAGTTTTTGGGAGTAGAACTGTTTTCCACTCACTATGAACAGTGGTTTGGTTGGTCCGTCATGTTGTGAGATGTTTCTAATCATCTTCATCAGAAGGCAGTCTTTCATCTTTAGAGCTCTCTTCATGAGCATCTTTAACCCATTTCCTAGACAGAAAGATATAAACATTATTACCCAGTTAGCACAGTTTAATTAAATATACATAGATGACTGAAGTCACTATCAAGTGAAGAGACTTGTGGAAAAGGTGTCAGCACTCTGGGGGACTTTACAGAGACATTGAGCCATTATCTGGTCATATAAATACCTTCACACATGAGTTGTGCATTCCTCTTGTTTGCAGCCAGGTTGATACAGATGGAGAGGATCTCAGCTTCGATTTCCTCCTCACTGTGCTCATACAGCATTTGCATTAGCTAGACACAATCACAATTTGACTTTTAGAACTATCAAAGTCAGTATACATGTTGAAGTGAACAGTTCATACTGCTTGTGTTTGTCGTGGCTCTCAGAGTACCTGAGGTATGCAGTCTGTGTAAACAAACATGCCCTTGAAACGGTCGTCGATGCTGATGTGATACAGGATACGCATGGCTACCTGACGGTTGTTCTCGTCACCTGCATGACATCAAACACACAAACAAACAGCAGTGAAGATTTTCTTATACTCTTCAGTGATAACACAAATCAACCTGCAGCAAACGTTGACAAATGTCACAGCCATCCATCTAATAAGAGCAATAGTTTAATATATGTTTCAGTGTGGACTGACATACAGACGTCGCCATCCATAGAGCGCTGCTGCTAGCATGGCCAAAAATGAACACTATGAGCTCCATAGAGGCAGTCATTCATCGAATGGCTACTGTGCTGTGAATAAAACATAATTTACTGTACATGCAATATAGACAATATACACTGTATGTTACTAGTGTGTACTGTTACCCAACATGGCAGTCAGTTTAGGCAACAGTCCAACTTCCACCATCTTGGCTCTCAGTCCAGAGTCAAAGGAGAGGTTGAGTAGCAGACGCAGAGTCAGGTTCAACAGGTCTTCATGGTCACATGGAACCAGACGAGCCAATCGTTCAACAGTATCCACCTCAGCCTGCAAATCACACAGACACAGATCAGATCCAGCTAATCACACTGAAACTGTAACGGTACACTCAACTCACGATTCCATACAATTCACAATGCTGGGTTCACAGAACGATTTTTTAAAAGCAAAATTAGAATGAAGACAAATTATGACTGAAAATTACAACAGATAAAAGAATATTTTACCTTTCCTGATGTATTTGCAGCTTAATACAAATACTGATGCGAGTGACGTAGGATGTCAAACAAGCAAAGTCAAAAGTAGATAGCGCCCTCTGCTGAAAAATCTATTCATTTTTTATCTCACTGATTTGAATCTTCACATTTTTGTATCACAATATATCTTTACGTATGTAGTCATTACAGCAGCAAGCAACAGAATATATGAGAATGAGGACAAATATTGACGGTGAAGCAATAACTACAAGACAGACATTAGATAAGACATAATTGCAAGTACAAATGCATGTTTAACTGTTTACCCTTTTCCCTCATTAAAAGCCCAAATTATATACAATAACTGAAACAGAATACACAAAATATAAGAACAAAATATAATTAAAGGAAAAAAATGAGAATATATTAAATACAATAGAGACTAAATAACGCAGACAAACAGCTGCACTGATCACACAGCCATGTTCTCGGTACACCGCTTGATGACCTGAGACCTCTGACTGGACTGCAGTCAGTGAGCAGGTCAGAAATATACTGAGGAGACAAACCATGATGTGCTTCAATAACTCCACTTCCTCCACAGGCTGTCGCCGCTCTCTGCCCACATCTGACATTCTGGTACTGTGAGCTGTCCTCCCAGAGATGTACTCTGTCTGTGTGCTGTCCTCATCCGCTATTTCTTGAGGACAGCACACAGACGGAGGAAAAATATGGATTTGCTGTGGCCTTTTGGGTTGCGAGAGCCTTGGATATTTTGTGAATCTGAATGCACACCCCAGTTTATCAGCATGAATTTGAGATATAAATCCTTCAAACAATAAAAAGTTACTGACCTAAATTTCAAAGAGTCCAAAATAGTTCTGACTTGCTCACTGTACTACAGAGAAAGTGATACTCTCTCTGGTATCTCAGGCTGGTGTTTATAAAGCTGTTTTTGACATCCAATAATTGATTGAGATTCAATATTGAATAATTGATTCACTGTTTGTTAAATGATTGATTCTCAAAACTGGTCGTAGAGGCATTAATATTATTTTTTACTGCATCTGTCATTTAAGGTTGATATTAGGAGGCAATTGTCTGTTACGTGAAATATAGCTAGATAAGTAAATCACCTAACTATAGACCCGTGGCTTGTAGTGACACTGTTCAAAATGACTCTCTGTCTGTCCCTCCTTGTACCATTCATCTAGTGCAGCAGGATGAGTCCTTCCACTCACCATGTCATTCTTGTTCTCCAGAAAGATGGAAAGTTTTTTGAGGAATGAAACCACCAGTACCAGCAGCTCCTCATCGTCCCGGTCCAGAACTTTGACCAGAAGCCCAACAATGTTTTTATTCCTCATCTTCAGCTCCGTTCTTGTGTCCTCAGCAAGGTTCAACAGCAGGTAAAGAGACACTGGGAGACAGTGACAGAAAGAGAAGAAAATATGAGGAACTGAGTATAAGCACTTGTTATTTCTGGTAACATCACTGAAGACATTCTTTGCAGGGTTTCTGTGGGTTGGACAGATTCAATTTAAGACCATTGTGAATGCAATTTAGGACCTTTCATGTCCATACTGGCAAAAAAAGTACATGAAGGAAAATCAATATTGGCTCTATGTCTTGTCTGTTTTATTTTGTAGTTGTTGCATGTTGTTTATACAAGTAACATTAACTTCATTAATCCAATCAGTTTCCAAGATCTGTCAAAATCATATATATGCAGAGACCCTTCTTTGGTTACAGTTAAAAAATACCAAACCTCAGAAATACCGATTCAAACTTTTAATTAAAAACTTGTTTTTTGTTTCATAAAGTCAATGAATAGGAGTGATGCCTGGGCTGAACATTACTACCAACTATTGCCACTTTCACGCTGGTGGAGAAGAAAGAAGACATACAAGGTATGGAGCTGTCATTTGACAAGTACAGTGATGTAGTTGTTGTCCAGGAAGAACTACAGGCTGTTTCAGCTTGAAGAGAAATGGTCAGACTGCAGGAATTCATTTGCTTGGCAACGTTGTGTAACTTTGATTAGCACCCAGCAGCTAACTTAGCTTGCTCAGTGGCATCTGAACCAGCGTGCAATGCATCATGGTCATATAGGCACTGCCGGCACGGCTCCCCAAGCAGGAGAACTTTTTTTCGATCAATATTGCTTCAATTGACTACATTTACCATGAACACTGATTGGACACCCACATAGAACGTGGCAAAACTGTCCCTTTAAATGATGCATCAACACTGCACTCACATCAGAGCAAAGAAACACACGCTCTGGTGTTATTGCTACTCTATGACACAATAAAAAGAGTTCTTTGAGAGTTGAAAGGCCAGTCTACCTCTGAGCAGCTGTTCCTGTTTAGCCAGAAGACCTTGGTACTTCCTCAGAGCTTTGTCCTGGTCTCTTCTCAGAGAGCCATTCTCTGGGGCTGATTCACGTACACAGAAGAGTGTTAAGGAACACACACAAAGTGAGTCAGGTAAATTATACAGGAGGGCAGAACCATAACAACTCAAACGGAAGAAGCAAATGACAGCATATAAAAGGATATAAGCCTTGTTTTTCTTGCGCAGCTCTTCACGCCACACATCATGTCTCTTCAGCTCATGTTCCACCACGCTCATACACAACGCGCCTATTTTATAATGACTCACCACTCCGTGAAACTGGGAGAAACTGGAGGAGAGACACACCATGTAAAATGATGAAGTAGAACAGTGAGGCATAGTAAAGGAGTGTGTGCCATTCTGTGTGTGTGTGTGTGTGTGTGTGTGTGTGTGTGTGTGTGTGTGTGTGTGTGTGTGTACCTGGAGAAGCAGAAGAAGATGTAGATGATGATGGTGGCCAGCTCCACGCTCTGTTTCCAGTCCTCCCTCAATACTCTGGCCAGAGCACCAAGAGCTGCCTCTACACACACAAACACACGCTGTATTCATGCGAGGTGACATGACACATGAGCCATGTGTAAAAACAGACATAGTTAGGCTTTAAATTGGATACTTGGATTAAAACAGTGTGACTTTCACTTGAGATTGTTGATGTTTTTATAATTTATGGCCATATTTATTTGTGTTACAGCCAGCTTCAGCTTATTAAACACATCAAAGTACAGAAGAAACAATGAATGCTTGTTGATTTATTGATGAGGTAACATAAAATTTGTCTTTTTTAATGAAACTATTGTACATCTCTTCCATCATTAGATAGTAGTGGCTTTCACGTACATTTTTACCTGAATGTTGCATTAGATGAAAGGTCAATCTCTGCAACAATGTTCGGATTATGGTCACATTTATTAAATGATAACACAAGTAGAGATGATGCAACTGAATAGCTAGAGACAAAGAAACAATAGAGTTGACTTAAGAGTCAAACTTGTGCTGGTGCAACATGCTGCTAGTTTCTTTTAGAATTCAGGGTTACCACTGAAAAGTTTGTTTTGAGACATTAAGCTTGATGTGAAAACCAAACATTAAATTAAACCGCATGTTTCCATGATATAGTAATATGGAAAACATCTGAATAATTTCCAGAACCTGGAATAACTGTGGGATAAAAACTACAATACAAAATAAAGAAAACTGGAGTGTACAATATGGTGTTTACTACTTCATAGTTTAATTACTTATAGATAATCTGTTACATTGAGTAAACGCCTCCATCAGTGACTTCCCGAAAGCTTTTCCATCTGCTGCTGTGATTACCTCGAGTCTCTAACTAGAATAGAAACACTCAGGGATTGATATCATGTCTACCAGGGGTCTATACTAAAACATATTGTATTGCAATATTTTATTTATTTTCGTGTTTAAACTACCAACCGCTAAATAGCAATGTTGTAAACATAAATTGAGGGCTATGGTGTTGGGACTGTGATGAATACAAATACAGAACACACTTTTTAAAGCATATGCTGGTGTGTTCTGTATTTATATATATTCTTTTATATACCATGACAGTTGGTGGTCAGTCACTCTTGCTGAAAAGAGCCTACAGAAACTCAACCCTCACCGAAAGAATACATGAGAGAAAACATCCTAAACACACCTTTTGATTGATCATAAATGAGGGCAGAAATGTACCACGTTTAGCTAATGAGTGATTTAAGTATGTTAGCTACTTCTCCAAACATGAGAATTAGTATGAAGAATGAAACTATACCGTTGTGTAGCAGCTCCTCCAGGTTGTCAGGGTTGCGGGCAAGCTGCAGAATGAGGGAGGAGCCTCTGATCTTCTCTGGGATGCCTTCATAGAGCAGTTCTACATACTCGTCCACTCTGGTTATACTGGCTTCCTCATTTAACTACACAAACAGACAGAAACACAGACACTGTTACTGACTAACAATGAGCAGTGGCAAACTATTAAGGCCTTGGCACACCAAGTTCGTATTTTTCTTTTCTTTTTTTTTAAATCCATCATCCGATAAAAAGCCAGGCATAATTAAATGGAAATAAATAAATGAGAAATTAGAAATACTAGATTATTGCATGGTACTGAGGCCTTAAATTTGGTGTTGGTGCAAATCAGGTTAGTGAAGAATGAAGAATCACAAATAAAATGTCTCTCTCTGAGAACAGAGATCTAACTGAAATAGCTGAGAAGAAACAATATACACGAACTAACAAGCAGAGTCAGTCAGTGTTTTAAGCGGTTACCTCCATCCCTTCAAACGGTGTCAGCTCTCTGGGTTTCACAATTCTTTTCTCTTTCTTCTCCACTGGTGACACAAAAAGCCAACAATAAAAACATTAGAGTGCTGTATTTCCTTTGAAAGGTGAAGTTTTGTTTCATTTACTGTATGCTTTGTAATATTATTCTCATTGTGAATTTAGTAATACATGTACAGGACCTACATGGCTAATCAATGTAAACACAGACTCCTCATATCTGCCATCCCTCTGTTTGAAACTTTGCAGCGTGATGAATTTCAGAATTTCAGCACATTTCAGTGTTGAGCAATGTTTTCACCCTTCTATACTGTGATGTTTTGTGCGGACCACAGAAAGAATAGCATTGGGGCTGCACAATAAAGTGAAATATTGTCAAACTTGCAATGTGACCTAGTACAATATCCAAAACTGCAGAAACTGCATTTTAAGGTAAAATGTGACAAACAGATAATGAAGTACTGACTGTAGTGCTGCAGAGACGCTCAGGCCTACAAACCCAACAAATGTCACATCATCATGATTTTAATAGTTTTTCAGTAAACATGAAAATTGTTATGCAAAAATTATCATTCCAACTAATCATGGAATCATGTTGCAATATCTTTCAAAATAATTACAATATGATTTTTTCTTACCATATCATGCAGCCCTAAATAGCATTTAATAAGGCATCAGCTAATACGGATCCCAGGGAGTAATAAAATAATTCAATGATTCTGAAATCTAATTTTGATGGTGAAAATTTGGATATGTTTAGAATCTACAGCAAAGGTGTAATAATGGTGACGTGACTGACTTTTGCCCTCCACAGGTGACGATTTCCTGTTCTGCAAGTAGTAGAGGAGCTGCTCCACCTGGGGCAAGCGGGACTGAGGGATGAGTTTACACTCATCCACCACTTTCTTAGCCAAAGCTACCACATCTGTACTAGGAGAAAGACTCTTCACACGGATACTGGGGGGAGACAGAGAGTACAAAGAGAAGGGTGACGGATAAGTTGATGGACCAATTTAAAGAAGGATCAAAATAAATGAAAGGAGGTAGGGAACAGCAATGGAAATCTGGGGTGGGAAGATAATACAAAGAGAAAATCAACTCTAACCATGAAAAACAGACTTGTGTCACTCAATTTCACTTCAAGCAGAGAAAGAAGAACAACAGCCCAAGAGGACGTGGGAACAGAATGAGAGTTGTGTGTAGAAAATCAAAAGTACATTACATTTTTTGTCCCTCCTTGCGTTCGCCCAGCATATGGCCTCCGCTCTCACCCAGGATAGATGCTTCCACCTCATAGTGGACCACAAGGGCCTTCTCTGTGGGATGGACATCCAAACTGCCCGCAGTCACTTTGCTTTGGGTGATGATGAACAGTAAAGATACATATTAAATAATCCATGTGTTAGGGTTCAATTTCAACTCAATAAATTCCACAACAAATGTGTCCCAAGAACATGACTGTATCCATCAAACAGGTCTCCATTTCAAATGGCCGAGATGTTTACATCATACCTTTCATAGAATTTGGATAATAACTAACTCATACTGACTTTATATGTTGATAAAGAGAAAAAGGCAAATGAAAAATAATAGAAACAGAGATGTATGTATAGGGTTTGGTTCTTGTCTGTCATGCCGACAGCTGACCAGCTTTGAACTGTTTTACATCCATCCACCAAAACAATACAGAGACACGCCCAGACAGCGACATGGGCTACAGATAGCTGGCTAACAGGCTAACACGGTTCCATAAAGGGTTGCATTTAATAAAGATAAACTCATCTCACAGTGTAAACTTGAAGACAGTAAACTAATTCAACGTAGCTAGGCAGTTTATCGGCCACCGTTTCACAGTACTGTAGCTTGCTTACGCTAGCTATGTTAGCTGTAACCCAGATATCCCAGCACTCTGAACTGAGGGAATTTAATGCCAAACCCCGTTTAACAATCTATCAGTTAAATGGCGTTGTGTTTCCCGGCAAAAATATAGGTCGGCTGGAAAATGAAAACAGTGTTTAATGGTGTTTTATTGTCTAGTGATGGATTCGGCATTGTCAATATACACAGGTTGGGTCCTTCTACTGATTGACACAGATAAGATCCCTCTTTGCATTAGTTAGCGGTAGCTTCCACGAAGGGGCGGCTGTGAAGAGACATGATTGTGGAAGCAATCGCACTGCTTGTGAAATGAGACATTTCCCCACCCAAGTATGGCTTATTTGTGAATTACAGATTAGCCGAATTGAATGGTGGGTCATACTGTATTACAAAAGATCTCCAGTTATTTTACACTTGGTACTCGCCTTTTCCTGGCGAGCAAGCAAACATTTGCCCGTAGTTTGACTAATGATTCTTGAGATTCTCTCCAACAATAGACCCGCACACACCCGTTACGATATACTGTCAATGGTTACGATGCATTTTCAATAACACGCCATACTTTCGTTAAACATGTAACGTTACAGCTGATGCAAAAGAAAGCGGATACCATATTTCAATTACATTAACGTACAAGAGGCATTGTAGTAAGGTTAGCTAGCTAACATTACTATTTCCCCAAAAAACATATTGAACTAAGTTGACGTTACAATCACGTTAACGTTGTTCGTCATACCGTTTGAGGTAGCGCGCGTCATCCTGCATCTTCCCCAAATGTATTTTTTCAGATTTAAATGAATTTAACAGCTTGGTCACATTTAATAAACCACCCAAATCACGACCATAGAAATCCGTGTGCTAATCGCTAGCGCCACTGTCAAAACAGCAAGGCTGGACTACAAACATGGAGTTCTTCCCTACGGCCTTTAGATTTTTCCCTACGTTCAGACTCCCAGGCAGCATATCTGCCAGTGCTGCGTACAACTACCGCCCCACTTTAAGAGACTAGATTGTAACCATAACCTCAGTTGATAACAACACTCAACTGTGCATGATGCATAACTCTGTTGCTTCCCACTGAGTCCAATGGAACCACAATCATTTCCCTTGGTGTATGGCTTTACTATACCTGCTCCAAATTGTTATGCAAATACGTTTTTCAATGAAAGTTTCCAATTGTGCTGCTTCCAACGTCTGTCACTGACATCAGTCTCAGACAGGTTTGGTAAGTTTGCCAGGTGAGCCTAATTCACAGGAAACTACTTAAGGAGGTTTTTTTTCTCCACATTATTAAGCAAGTCACAGGTTTTATGCAATGTGGGGAAAAAGAAAGCTCTTTCTGCAGATGAAAAGCAGGAAATAGTGCAGTACCTTTCAATAGATATGAAATCACTGGATATTTCAGGAAATCTTAAGAGAGATCACCGTCCTGTGAAAAGATTTGTGTGTGATTCAGAGTGCAGACGGGTTCGTTCGGATAAAAGCGTGTTAAGGAAAGTTTCTGTAAGGCCAATTCATCGTATTCAGAGAGCAGCTGTGAAGAAGCCACTGATGAGTAGTAAAAAAGGTATTTGAAGCTGCTGGTTGCTGATGTGCATAAAGCTGTAGTTCAGCCACCCTTAAATGCCCACAAGGAGAAACGATTGCAGGGGGCTCAGAAATACATCAAGACTCATTTCAACAGTTTTATTCACTGATGTATGCCGTGCTACACTGGATGGTCCAGGTGGATGGAGTTCAAGGCTGCAGCGTCAGCAAGGAGGTGTTGGAAGGATGTTTTGGGCTGGAATCATGGGAAGTGAGTTGGTAGGCCCTTTAAGGTGCCTGAAGGTGTCAAAATGACCTCTGTAAAATGTGGAGTTGCTAACTGCTCATTTCCTGCCTTGGTATTAAAAGAAGAACCATGCCTTCCGGAGTAAAATCATTTTAATGTGTGACAACGCACCATCCCATGCTGCAACATATACCACTGAGGCCTTGGCTGCTATGGGCATTAAGGGAGAAAGAATCACGCTGTGGCCACCATCATCTCCTGACCTCAACCCTATTGAGAACCTGTGGAGCATCCTTAAAAGGAAGCTCTATGAGGGTGGGTGGCAGTTTACCTCAAAACAGCAGCTCTGGGAGGCAATTCAGACATCCTCAAAAGAAATACAGACAGTAACTGTACGTGGACTTACAAGTTCAATGGATGAGAGAGTTGTTGATGTGGTATCAAAGAAGGGCTCCTATGTTAACATGTAACTCAATCTTTAAAGATGTTTTTGATTGGAATAGCTTTGATTTGAGAAGAATTATCCCCTCTAATGCAAAAAATACAACAGATTTCTGTTTTCAGTCCTTTAGAAACTATTAAGAGTTTTGAAACTCTGTTTTGCATAATAATTTGGAACACTGCATTTTGAGTTATTTTGCAAAAAAAATCTCAGTCATCATCGGTAATTGTGTTTAATAAAATCCAGATTATGATATAATTCTTGAGGAATAAAAAATCCTATTGATTGCCAATTATGTAAACTATTTAGGGGGAAAAAAAACAAACAGTATATGCATAATAATTTGGAACAATTTATAATGGTCGTCTAAATGACATAAAACTTTAAATAATTTTTTTCTGTTATATTCTATTTTGATCACCTCTTTTTACCTCAACACACGGACCTTGAGTAATAGGCCTGGTACTATTTCCCTAGCAAAGAATTTAGAGGGCTTTTGTTTTATAACATTTTTAAACTTGGATGGATTTTAATCCAGGCTGAAAGCGGTCTTTGGCTATAAACACTGTTATTGCAACTGTCAAGGTTAAATGGGCTTTAACCCTTTAGAATTAATGTCATATTTTTGCTACAAAAAAATCAAACCTACACAGAATTTGGTTCAATGGGCTTTAGCCACATTCACATCATATGGGATTAAAGGCAGTGATTGTGTTTTTAGTGTCATTTACACACTGAATTAATAGTGTGGTGGCAATTTGTTTAATAAAGCATACAAAGTATGATCTTGTCTTTCTGTAAGGTTTTATTCAAGTCATCCATGAATGGTCTCAACGCAACCGTCACACACTCTCGTATGTGAAAGTCCGAAGAGCCCAGGTTGTAAGAAGCAGTATGGTTTTATCCCTGTTGGAGCGTCACTCTAACACAGTTACACATTCCTGAGTTCTGGGACAGTAAACAGACAGATAGTGTGGTGAGATGATCATGTCCTTGGTTTCTTAGTGAAGTCTCAACATCCCGCTTTACTTGGACATAGTGTAGATAGAAACAGGGCTAAAGGTTATATGCATATAATAGCCTCTTTAACAGTTGCTAATGGTTTTACAATGACCAGGTCAAAGGGATGTATAGGTTCTTAAAAATTGCCATTACAATAGTCACCTCTGGTCCTATGGGCCCATATTATACACACATAAAAATACTGTGCATTTACCAAATAAGACTCAACAGAGGAATTAGTTACTTTGATAGACTGGCATGAGCTTTGTTTGCTTCAGGCCCATTTATATTATTTTTATTTTTATTTATTATTTATATAAACGTGTCCTCCGTAAAAGTTATCTGTGGTATAGACTGGCACAGGGATGGATGGTAATTCCTCAGAACTTAATGGAAAAGTTGGCCAGGATGGATACACTCCCTCCATGATAATGCTCCACATACATCATGTACTACTACCCATGTTGACAGACTATATTGAAATGGTGACTGTGATAATAGGCTCAGATATATACCATTAGGGCAGTCCAATAGTAGCCTGTACAATGTTACACAGAAAGACAGAAAGCACTTTTTTATTTAAGAGCTATGACATGACTGCAAAGCAGTATTTCAGGACAGACTTTCTAACACCATGTGGTTTACACCTACCTAATTGCTTCTAAATACAATCAGCATTCAGTGTGTGTTGGCCGATGTTTACTGCTGTGTGTCTATCTGCACATGTAATGTATATACTTTCTTAACTCTTGTGGTGTCTTTGTGTGTTTGCCCTCCATTTCTTCCAACTCCTTTCCCCAGCTCTCCTTTCCTTTGTCCTCTTCTTGTTTCATTTTTGTCTGCTTTCATCCACTTCCCTCCACTACAATTCCTCCTTTCCTACCCTTCTCTTAACCATCATCCTTTTCTCTTTCTATTCCACGTCCCCTCCCTCGTCCTCCTCATCAGCACATGCTGTGAACTCCTTCTCAGGTAACAAGCCATATTCATTGAGAAACGCCTCCACATCCGTTGCAAAGAACTCTTCATTGAAGTGTTTGGTAACAGCCAGGAAATTGCCCAGCAACTCCCCCGCTTTGTACACCAGCAGAGTAGGAAGAACCTGAAAGAATATTGAAAGGGATTTCAATTCAATTTCACTTGTGTAGCACCAAATCATAATAGAAGTTATCTCAGGACACTTTTCAAATAGAGCAGGTCTATACCGAACTCCTTATAACATTATTTAGAGACCTAACAATTCCCACCATGAGCAAGCACTTGGCAACAGTAGGAAGGAAAAACTTTGTATTCCTATTCCTATCAAAATGTACTATACTAATGTACATATTTAGTGGTATTAAACCTGTAGTGTGGGAACTTTTGTCTCCTGGATCAGGCAGCAAGCATAATTACACAAACATTGTTGACTATACCCCTAGTTGCTGTAGACTACTCCGTCACTATGATTGCTCCCCCTTCAGCTCTGCAAACCACACAAAAGCCGGCTTTTCCTTTTTAGCTGGCACGCCACAATAGGTGCAGTGGACAGTGAGTGTCACTGTAATCTTAGCTGGTACACATGAAAACACAGTTATGTAAACCTGGCCTGTGTTAAATTGACATTGACTGTGTTAAACATTTTTTAACCAGCCACCTTTTCTGTCAAACCCCAAATTTTAGGGATGCTCAATAATTATTAGGGCTGATAATGGGACATTTATATTCTAATGGATTATCCAGATAATGAAATTATAGCTGATAAATTATCGGTCAGTGATGATGATAATTTATTGAGAATTCTTATACAAAACAATTGATTTTTTTATTGCTTTATGTTCTATGAAAGCCAAAGTACTTTACTACTAGTCCTTGTTTACCAACAGTGAGTGTCAGTTAGATTTGGTAAGATAGAGCTATGGAATATTGACTCATCCATCTTTCCTCACTACATTTTAGCCTTTCTTACCCTCAGGTTGTTCATTTTTTAAAATACAAATATGTGTAATTAACGGTTATCTTATTGGCATCGGCCATGAGAAGCAGATAATCATTGGTTGTCGTATTGGTTGAAAAAAAATCCATATGGTACATGCCTATCAAATCTGCCAACATTTGGAGCCTGGCAGGTGGTAATTTTGGACCCTGGTTCCTTGCTCAGTTTCTTAATTTAGTTTCTCTGATTTTGTAGTTCCTTGAACCTTTCGGTCAAAAAGAGCTAATATATGATACAATAATCAGAGCCATGTAATGATAGAAACTCTTGTGCTCTTCGCTTCTGGTTTAGATATCAAGTATTGCTCTTTCTAGTGCCGCATAAACAAAACTTAATGAGAGGGGTTTAACGGTCAGTTAACTTCTTATAGCCTCACACTTCTGACAGTGTGACTACAAACTGTTACTATCACTACTAGAAATTATACTGCTAATACAACAGCCCAATGTTGCAGTAGGGATTACTGTAATTCTATCAATTATTAGTTTAGTATATTATGAATAATGTAACCTTCATCATTCTCTTTGTTGTTTTTGTTTTTAAAAAGTTAACTAACCTCAGAGGAGAAGCGCTCAGCAGCACCTGTTGCCACAGCATCAATACGACAAAATTTAACACTGGGGTACTCCGAAGCCAGGCAGTCCAGACATGAGTTCACCTGTTCACAGCCTGGTAAAGGACAAAATTATGCATGCATGCACTATTAGCAAACAGCACTTTCAACTGTGACAGGCTATACCGTTTTGTAACATGAGTCTATGAGCTAAAACTTAAACACACGATAAAAAAACTAACCTTTGACACCATGCTGGTAGATGTGGACTACCACTGGTGTCAACCGATGCTCCTTCTCTATGACCTCCAGGAAGTCTTCTCCACTCTCAAGCTCATAGACTGCTTCAAACGTAGGACCGAAGCTCAGGCGCTCATGCATTTCCTGCATACAATTTTTTCTGTAGCGTTTCAGGCAATGTTCATCCTCCTCTTGGATCAGTTCGTACTCCTGAACGCTCATCTAGAATTGAGGAAATGTATGTTAATTCTTCACGTTTTTGTTACATTCAAATGTATTCTTTTGGCAGACATTTTTGTCCAAAGCAACATACAAATAAGGTACAATCCAAGCCACAATAGACTGTTGTGTGGACTATGTGTTTGAACTTATTGTTTTGTTTTTGTTAGCATATTATCCATGCAACTGTGGTCAATTGAAATACACTGTCTATAAAATCTGTCAATAGTGTGTTGTCAAGTTTTCCTGTGTGAGTGTTTCCATCCACCTTTCGGTTGACTCTCTCTTTGTCATCCTCTCGTGGACTTGACATTTGTCTGAGCAGCTCTTTCCTTCTTTGAGGGACAGTCTGATCCACACTGTCCAACTTAAACCTTCGCCAGTCATTAATTACACCTTTTGGACCTGCAGACAAAGAAATGTCCACAAAAACACGTTGGTTTTCAGTCCGAAAGGTACATCTGTGGTGATGATTTACAACAGATATACTACTGCATACTACTACTACTACAATTTTTGTAATTAATGTCTACTATACTGTTTGACTTCTGCCTCTGACCTGTGTGATTGGCAGGCAACTCATCTTCTTCCAGGATAGAGCCAGACATCTTGATAGCAGTCTGCAATACAGAGAACACACAAACTGAAAGACATGATCAGGTCCATGCAACAGGTGCAGGTGAGGACCATGTTACAAGTCCATCTCAACTCCAACTCTTAAAGGAAAATTCTTGTTTATTATAACCTAGCATATTTCCCATTAATGTGACTGGTGGCTCTATGGGTCATGCTAACTTTTCACTCACCACCTCTCACACAAAACCGGGGCTCGGCAATTTTTAAACACGCAATTTAGCGCGGTGAACAGGACCACAGCCAATCAGAGGCAAAGACCCGCCCTAGCTCTGTCTCTTATTGGTTTAGAACACGATATGATCCTACCATGACTGTGTGAGTTCGGTCACAGGAGAACACAGAGAGATGATGCGCTTGCGAAATACATTTTTTCACCCGGGCAGCGTCAGGTGCACCAGTGCGACCTAGAAAAATTATTAGTTGCACTCTTAAAAATTTTGGTCGCATGTGCGACTAAATTGGTCGCACTCTGGAGCCATGGAGGCTGTGTTTAAATCCTTCCAATGAAAAAATCACCAAAATGTGTTACTTGTCCAGGGATTGCCAAACTTCCACATACAAGTGTAGCTGAAAAATGTATCATGGTAACATATGTAATTTCATTTGATATCGATAATTATTGAGAATTTTTAATAACCTTATTTTTAACCTGCTATTTTTATAAAGAGCAGGTGGAAAAAGTTGAATTTAATCACTTTATTTATCAAGGCACACAACTAATAATTTTAATGCTTTTAATGTGTTGCTTGTCATTGTTGCTGAGTACCTCTCCATTGTGGACAGCCTGTGGATTGTTCCTTCAGATTAACAGATGTTGGTTGTGACTGATGACATGCTGCGTACTCCAAAGAGGGGAAGCAGCTATGTTGATTCACTCTTAGCATGCTCTATTATTATAGGTTATATGAAAGGCTGTATATGAGCTAGTAATTTTCTTATTGCTACAGATGAAATGTCTATTGCTGATACATCGCTCAGGCCTAGCTAATGTGTGGGACATTGTTTTTACTTCATCTTCTCCTCTCAACTGTGTGATACATTTATCATTTATGTTTAACTTGGAGTAAGTGTACAAAATAAATCTGAGCTGGACTGAGAATAAATCTTGTTCACCTCTGATGTGTTAGATGTTGATATAATAATAATGTTGACAATAATATAGCCAGGCAAGCACTTGCTTAAACATTGTTTTTGGGTTGAAAAAAAAAACTGTTTTATTGTGGACAAAAAGGCTAACATAGTGACCAATTTAGCTATTTTCGTATGAACATAGCCCTAGCGCTATTAAACACTGATACATCCAACCCAACTATCTGCTATATTTGGTGTGCATGGGTCCATGGAGGTTGACACACAGTTGTCACAACCACTTACTGTGAGCCAGGCTGACTGTTTACTTATCAGATTATGCTGAGATTACCAGGAGTCTGACATGTACACATTCTTAGGACATCTTATCTTGTATGTGCGTGTGATATAACATAATTTGCTCGCTAAGCCTGTCATTCTGTTTACCATTTTAGAACCTAAGTTTTATGCTATTGTGATCCTGAAAATTAAATTCTGATGACAGACTCAATTCTTCTCTAAAAGAAAAAGGAGAAAATGTTACCTTATTATTTTACAATTATTGGAATTCTAGCATAATTACTGATAAATAGATTATATAGTTCTTTAATGTAATTCTGAAATGTCAAATCATATTTGGGTTCCTTTGCACACATTAACGGCTCTCAGCTCTGAGCATTAAGGAATACACCCATGAGGAAACCACTTCTACCCTAGATACATCAGTAAAGGCCACACTGAAAGCTATTATGCTGATACAGCTGAGCTGTTGATGACAACAGGGTCCTAATCAACAATACGTCATTAACTGATAATGCCCATCAGCCTGAGGCAGCTAATTCCCTCATGTTATCAAAGCAACACATTTCTTGCATGGTTGGTTTGAACTCAAATGCAAGTGTATGCAAGTGGTCTGGACTTGAAGTGCAATGGCTTTAAACATGGCAAAATATGTCTTTGAAAAGTATCTGAGTAGATACACTTTATTACATATGAATATGAATAACTGATTTGACTAAAGCAGCGTATATAAGTATAGGTGTATGTAAGCGTATATATCATCGTGTGCTGCTTAGGTCAACAATGTAGTACTGCTACAATAAATATACACAGAAACAATCTGAAGGAATTTGCTGCAAACAAAGTGACCACAACTGCTAAACAGTGACATATATAAAATAAACATGGTCTCTTACAGAAGCATTTAGTGTGGAGAAACTATACCTGTGTAAACAGCAACAGAGACACAGATGGGAGTACTAGACATACTGTACAATCACATGCATGGTATCTAACTAAAATGGCCAGAAATTCTTACCTTTACTTCTTAGGTGAGAACTGTTGTCCGTCAGTTTCTTACAGCTTGTTTTTTTTCCAACCTTTGTCTGTTGTATTTATTTGTTATCCTCTTTCAATCTAGGCAGTCACGAGGAGTGTGTCCACATAGGGAGAACAGACAAGAGAGAGAAGACAAGTTTAGAAAAGGGTGGGGAGAGAGATAAGAGAATAATCTTTATCTTCATTGACATCATCATCACTGTCCCTCTAATATGATGTTGTCTAATATGATTAGGTATGATACCAGGCTTAGTGTCATGGACTAATGACAGCCAAGTAGACAGAAGAGTGGGTGTGAGGTGTAACTGTTAAAAAGAAAATTAGTGAAATAATTTTTCAGCCACCAGATTTACAATTATATATTACAGATTACCTCCCATTTCTTCAGTCACCCTCCTCCCCTTTGTATGCATTATAAATATGTGGGTAGTTAACAGTGGCAGTTGCCATCTTTGTATTCTTTCCATTCTCAATTTTCTAGGTCTGGGTTTTGGTAGGAACAGGCCCAAAAATCCATATTCCATGGAAGTCCTAGCCACCCACAGCTCCAACACCATCATCAACAAGTTTATTGACGACACGACAGTGACTGGCCCGATTACCAGTGATGATGAAACGGCCTACAGAATGGAGGTCAGAGCCCTGACATCTTGGTACCAGGACCTCCATCAATAGAACTACGGTGGAGAGAGTTAGCGTGACAACGGCTCTGTAGCAATGTAGTAAGAAGTCCAACAGGATCATGAATAGGGGTGAGGCGGCTGATTAATTACGGAAATACAATTGATTGATTTACATACACACGCTGGCACCCGGTCAAATAGTTCCCCCAGAGAACAAGCTAGAAGCTAAAAAAAACTCACCTACAATCATCAAGCTAAGGTATGGGAGGATAGAGTGCTGCAACGATGACATATTTTTTGAAACATACATGTGATCACCTGAAGTAAAAACGTTAGGCTATAACAAAACATCATCGTGTTTGTGATAACTTTATCACCATCAATAAAGTTCCAACTTGTAATTAGGGTGGTGGTGGCATGGCGAAATGGCTCGACAGTACCAACTATAGTGCAGCCCTTGCAGCACGTTTCACCAATATGCATGAAAATCGGTACACAAATGTAGCTGTTACGTGTTTTACAGTAACACTTACATTGCATTTTTGGTGGGCTACATCTGATATGGGTCTTGCGCATGGGTGTGGTAAATGACTCCATAGCGCCCCCTAAAAATGAACTACGTTAACAACGTTACATTGACGCAAGGAGTGAAATTTGGAAATATTTTGCCTACCTTGCTGACAGTTAGGGCAAAGCTTCAGATAAATCGAGACCTGTTTGTCGCCAGTGCTACAAACAGCTGCAAACGAAAGGAGCCAACACCTCAAACCTGGCGAAGCACTTGGCCGACAAGCACGCCGAGTTGTATAAGGAATTTAAAGACCGACAGGGTAGTATTTGAAAGATAACACGATCACGTTCATGCCCTTAAATAAGTCAAATGCTATGGTTTATTTTGTGAGAAGTCACTATTTTGCGTCACCGTAGTTTGACGAGGCTATCTAGAGAAATAGTAGGCTAACTATGGGCATTATCTTCATGGCTAACCAACAGCCTGCCTACGGCTAATTCAACATCTCTGAAAACGCAACTTCCACAGAAAACGTTAATAATTTGCAAGCTGCTAAAATAAAGCATACAAACATCAGCTAAAATGATCTATAGGCTATATGATTATAATCAGAGCATGTGCATGTTTGTCAGTGATTTATTTATATTAGGTTATTACAGCATTTAAAGAGCACAGACCTACGCAAAGGAGGTGTATTTGTGAAATGCCTTGTAAGAAGTTATGGACTCAAAGATAATGTTAACCATCAAAGAAATCAGACGTTGAAGTACAGGAAACATTAGCCTATATTAATCCACATATCACAGCTTAAATAACATTAGGTTAACTCATTATTTCCTATTATTAATTATGATAGTGTTATGGTTAAGTAAATGTTAGCAGTTATCACTATAACCACTGTATATAGGGATGCTAAGTTAGTCACAAGTTATTGTTACTATCATACAAACTATTTAGGTCCTCTGTTATGAAAAATGTATCACCATCATATTTTAAATATTTCCATTTTCTTCTGCTGCAGAAGTCTGGAGCCACTCCTCAAAGGCAGCAGGTGGAACGATTTTGTGAGCAGCAGCAAGCTGTCTCTGCTGCTCTGGCTGAGGACAGGAAGAAGTGGCACCTGATGCCCAAGGACACAGACATGACCACTTTAGAAATAGTGAGGGATGTCCTGGCTCCACTCAGTGACTTCACTGATGCCCTGAGTGGACAAAAAGAAACCACCATATCATCAGTCCTGCCACTCATGTGGAAAATCAAAGCCTGCCTAAAAGACTAGGAAGATGACCACCCCTTGGCCCTAGAAATAAAGAACAAAATTAGAGGAGATTTTGAGAAAAGGTATGATGATCACAACCTGCAGATGACACTAAACACTTCTACATTCCCTGATCCTAGATTTAAAGGTACTTTTCTAACTATGGAAGAGGATGTAAAGAGGGAATTGCTCCTCAAAGCTGAGGCCGTTCAGCTTCCACCCCACAGTCCAGTGGACCCTAGAGGAGCAGGTGCTGCACCAAAGAGGAATAGGAGAGACTTAAAAAGTTTGCTCTGCACCATAACCTCAGAGAAGAAAGGGGCAGATAATTCTGAAATGAGGCAACATTCTCCCACACCTGCAACACCCACAGAAAGATTAGATGGTGAGTTTGTTGACTACAAACAGTTCAGAGAAATCAGCCCTGCAGAGGATCCCCTGGCCTGGTGGAGTCAACATGAGGCACAACTGCCCATCCTGGCGCACTTTGCGAAGAAGTATCTTTGCATTTCTGCTTCAAGTTGTGCATCTGAACAGGTATTCAGCACATCTGGGAATATCTGCAATCCGAGACGTTCCAGACTGACTGAGGAACATTTAGAAACGCTAGTTTTCTTGGCCAAGAACTTGAATAAGACAAAGGAACAGAGTAAGAAATGAACATCTGCTGGCCATTCTAGGGCTAATGCTCACTGGAGAAAAAACAACAACTCAGGTTTGATAAGAGATAATGCAGCTAAATTTGATTTGTTTTTTAAACTGAATGCCATTGCTTTTATTTGTTATTTATATTTTGATATTTAATATTTTGTTCATATGTTTAATATAATTGTTGTTCATATTTACATTCAAAGTCCAGAATTAAAATAAAGCTCAATGGCTGAGAATAAGTTACAATATCTGAGATATTGCTGCTAAATTTTATTTGCTTTTTTTTTTTTTTTACCTTGAATGCCATTGCTTAAATTGATATTATTTATATTTTGATATTTAATCTTTTGAATGTTTACATTGTTTAATATAATCACTGTTCATATTTGAATTCAAAGTTCATGTCACGGTTTTAAAATAAAGCACAGCAATGATATTTGAGAGTGTTTCTCCCTTTTCAGGAAAAGTATCGAAAAAGTATCGAAATCGCAATTCTTGACTTAGTATCGGTATCGAAACAATAATTTTGGTATCGTGAAAACACTATTGTGGTTATTGCATTGTGTTGTGTTGTTGATCTGATTACCTCAGGTTACTGTAGTAACTAGTCTTTGAGAAAGTGCTGAGGTGATGTTAATTTAATGTTATGCTTCACACACCGTCTTTGCATGCCACAAACTCCCTTTTAACGGCACCGTTAATCTACAATCACACACACAAATTCAGCCTAAACCTCAGCACATACATGAGGAGAGGGAACTTAAACCCCTCCATGATCTTTGTCTTTCACCAACACGTGTACGCCGCTGAAACATCTGGTCAGAGGACAAAGGACACACACCTGTCTGGCGCGGAATCCCCCATGCGCGCGCACACACACACACACACACACACACACACACACACACACACACACACACACACACACACTTTTTCCTCTAACTTAGTTCCTTTAAGTTAGATTGTTTATAGTGTATTCTCCTCTGTTTGCTTTTATTGTCCCTTTTAATAAATATTTGTTTATATATGCTGGCCTTTTTCGTACAATTTCGTACAAGAGTGGGTGATACCAACCTCTTCTATGCAGAACTCCAAAGCCTTCCAGTCTAACTATAAATAATGATTTTGGTAGTAGTTGTTAATTTAATTATTAATCCCGTTTCTGAATAAATAGTTTAATGTATTTTTATGAGACTGTTCAATCAATTACTAGTACAGTGCCCGTAGGAAGTATGTATTGCTATAGAAAATGGGAGGTTAAGTAGCTTTTTCATGGATGACCAAATGAGGTTGTGTTTGAAGGTGGGACGTCAGGGACATTTAGGTTTGTTGTGAAATGTATAGATTGATAACTACTGTGTTTTCATATAATTTGTCTTTTAGCAAGGACACTGTAGGGAGATGAACCCCATTCCACTGATGTGAAAGTACCACACCTCATGGTCAGCGCATATAAATTCTGAAAGAAGAAAATGAACTACATCTGAAATGGGATGAAACCTGGCAGCATAAACAGACTAACTTGTAGCATAGCCTAGTAAATGAACTGGGCAGGACATATTATTTAGCCCTGTAATATAGGCTAGCATACATCAGAGAGAGAGAGAGAGAGAGAGAGAGAGAGAGAGAGAGAGAGAGAGAGCAATGGCAGCAAGGGTTTCCACATCAAAAATTGTTTTTGAAACTACCAAAATAGTGTGAAAGGATAAGCCGACGGCGCGGAGCGAGGGCGTGTCGGTAAGACAGTCCGATAACTGCACAGGTCTCTCACTCAACTTAATAAAGAGAAATGTCCCACAAAGCAACGTTACAGGACCAAACAACAGTAACGTAGTAACTGTAACTGTCTTTGGCAACTTACATGAGGAAAAAAATACCACAGCTGTACGTGGAGAAGCCTTTCTGTCCTCCCGCCTGTCCTACCGACTCTTCCATTACATTTCTGCCCGAAGAACAGCGTCTGTCACCGGCGAAAAACTCACGGAGTGTATGCCATCAAAAATCACCGCGACCGCCAGCCCTCCGGACCGAGACA